CATTTCTTGACTATTTATTCACCCCCTGCCCAGTGATGGTAAACTACACTGGGACAGACTGACAAAGGTGAGGCCCTGCTTAGCTTCAGGGGCTTTCACATGCACGTATCGATGCAACTTAAAAAAAATGAATACGATGTAACGTACGTTAACAGTGGATTCCTTCTCAATAATTGTATTTTGATCTCAGTCACAAAAGCAGTCGTCTCGGAGGATTGTCTAAAACAGAAACACGTGTCTACGGTAAGTACTTGCTTTATACTTAACTATTAAATTATAAATACAAGGTGTTAAGATACAGGCATAAGCCCGTTAGATCTGCCACAGGCATTTGATTATAACCTCGTTATCCGCTGTGAATAAACCAAGTTTGTGACAAGCTGAGCTAACGCTATGAGTCTATTCAGGTCGTTTTTGAACAAGAAAACACATGCTGTGTTTTGAATTTAGAGAGAAAGATAAACCATGGATTAAATATTAAAGCTACACAAAGGACGCAGACGTTTTTCTATATAGCTGCTCACAACAGCTCAGGTATGATAACAAATGTTTTATGAATTGTATATTAGATATCTGGTTTTAATTGAGTTTATATTTTGCATATCCCATCTAATCCTGTCAAAGTGTGAATACAGTCTTAAATGTGAGGTGTCCCTGTTTTAATTAATGATGTCTGTGTGTCTTTCTCTCTTAGAGGCCTCTGGTGAAATGAACTTTGACTTTCTCTGACCGCACCAAAAACACACACCATCGTCTCCTCATCCTGGTTTCTTCAGCTTCATCTCATTCACCTTCAGCTTCACTGTGGAAACTACAACAAACTTAGGACCGATATTTAATTTGTTAATGAATGCAAAGTCATGAACAGTTGGAACAAAGTGGGCTCTGCATCTCTGATGTTCTGAAGACAGAAGCAGTAGCAGCAGTAGCAGCAGTAGCAGCAGTAACAGCAGTAACAGCAGCAACAGCAGTAACAGAAGCAGTAGCAGCAGTAGCAGCAGCAACAGCAGCAGTAGCAGCAGCAACAGCAGCAGTAGCAGCAGTAGCAGCAGTAGCAGCAGCAACAGCAGCAGTAGCAGCAGTAGCAGCAGTAACAGTACAGTACAGCAGCCTGTATGTCTGCCTCTGTCAGTGTGCGCTGTAGTTCTTTGTGTCTGAAGTGTAAAGCATATTTGTGTGTCATGAAAAGTGATGTATTATTTACACTTGAGTGTTTGTTTTATCCAGCCACAGAATAACTGAGAAGAATGTTTCTAATTGACCCCAACCCTAAACCATTACACTACTCAGACATGATCAGTAATAGTCTGCTTTCAAGACTTCAGAAAGTAAATTAATGGCCTGAATTCTGACCCACAGCATCTTCATTAGTAAAGACTCGTTATCACATTTAGGCCTTGTACAAATTACTTTAAGTAAACTGATGCATAAACGTGAGCCACATGCAAATACATATATCTTATTAAACAAATGCTTTATTTACATAAAATAATAATACTTTTTAAAAACTTATAATTACTAACATTGTAAAGCGCTTTGTGTTATCTTGGTCTGTAAAATGCGCTATATAAATAAACATAACTTACTTACTGTACATAAATTGTTAAGTAATGTGGTAAGTAAGTAAGTAATAATTGTTAGAATAGAAAAAGTTCATTACAAAAGCCCCCTCTTTGGGTTTTCATAATTACTTACACAATAAGCATCAGGTGAGCTCTCAAAATGAGTCCCTGAGTAAGACTCTCAAACCTGGGCAACAGTGCTGCCTGACTCCCCCTGTTCGCTTAAAGGAGAAAAAGTCCAAGCAGACCTCTGATACAACAATGTTAGAGGTCTATTGTAATTAATGTCATTACAATTCACTTTTATTTCCTAATACAAATGTCCTTACGCCACATATCACCAGAATGATTGACAATTAGGCAGACCAATAGGCTAGATGATCCACCTGGAAGAAGAGAATCCTCTAATATACCTTTAATTAATGTTCATAAATGGTCCATATCATCACTGTCTTAAGACTCTCCTGCTTAGGCAAGAAACAACTCAAAAAAAAGAAGAAAAACAGTGGTAAAACATTTGAAAAACCTCAGTAAGACTCATAGTGAGAGAATGGACAGACTTTACATCCAGTACTCTATATCAATACTGTGGATCTATACAGTTGATGGACCTCTAAAGGAGATGTTGCACTTCTTGCATTATCAAATTGTCCTCAAATAACAACAATTAAAATCAAACTTGGTCAGAAAAGAGGTTCTTGATAGCAAGTTACTTAATAATAAGTAATGGCAACATTTTTCATATCTTGCTGAGAAAGCCGTTTTGCAATCATAAGAGGCAAGCTGTCACTGTGTTAAACATAAATCATTATGACTAATAATGCCATTCTGACCCAGATAACTCCAGATCCACATTAATAACAGAAAACCTGGATATAGACCAGAGTCTATATCCACATCCAAAGTATGCCTGAAATTACTAATTAAAACACAGCTCATCCTTCTCATGCCTATGAACACGCACCACATGCCTTCCATTCGCAGAGGTTATGTTTTCTGTTTGTAAGTGGCTTTTTCCCTTAATGGCCACATATACTAGACATATTGATTTAATTACACAGGAAAACAACGTAGTCACATGCAGCAGCTTTTCGGCTATTCAAAAATGACAAGACACCGTGTCTGTCTTGTCATTTTCCAAGATAAGAGTATTTTCACTGTAATGTATATCCATTAGCCCAAAATCAAAGGAAGAAGGAAAATGGGTTTATTCAAAAGTCTGCAAGAAACATGGATGTATTATATCATCTGGATAGGGTATTACTAGCTTGGAGCTGAAGGAGCCACCTGCTCGGGGAATTCTCGCATTCTCTCTAGAATTCTCTCGGTAAATTCATGCGGGCTATCCAGAACTAAATGTAAACAAAAAAACAGCTCGACCTCAGCTGACAGAACACCTACAGCTGGAAACACGCAAACTTCAAATAAATCACAGTTCATGCTGAGGACCCTCTTCTGTTTCTTAATTTTTAAATCTGAATTGTGTGTGTATTATTTTCATCTGTATGATTTTTAAATGCGAAGCGCTTTCTGATCCTGGTCTATACGAATTCTCTTTACTTGCTTAATATGTGACTTATCTATTGCTCTGTAAATCTGTGGCAGGCCCTGCGCTGCGTAATTATGCACGGCTATTTGTTTTGCCTCATTTACATCTGGCAAAGCAATGTATTTTTTTCATTAGATTTGTGAAAGCCTCACATAGACACTCACCCCATAAACACACCAATGGACTGAGGTATTGCTCACTCCAAATGTCTCACTGCCCTTTTCACATGTAGCAGTTTACAGATAGGACAACGTGCTCATCTGTGGGAACGGGCTCATGGGCAGTAGCTCTCGAAGACAGTCAGACATTACTGTCTTCAAATTTTTTTATAAATGTTTCAGTATTTTATAAGTTATATGTAGTATTTAGGAAAAGAAAAAAAATAAGTTTAAAGTGATTGTCTGGAGTTTGTCAGAAAAAGAGAGAGAGAGGTACTTGATTTGAAAAAAACGACGCAGGCTCCCTCCCCCTTCCTTTCTGATTGGTCTACGCCTACGTTTCCGTAACACTTTTAAATGTTAATCTGAGAACACATTATACATTAATAATACACATGCACGGAGGTTTTCAGAATTATTTGTTAACGTTTTAATGAAAAAAATTATGTTTTATTATCATGAACTGCACATTATAGGACACATCTGCAGAGGATCTGATTATGGATATAGGTTCAGTTTATAAATGGGTAACTCAGCGCGGATGTTCAGAATTCTTTGTTCAGTTTTCATGAAGTTCCAGAGCCTAATAGAGGCTTGATTCAGAGGCTCCGTGAAAACAAACAACTGAGCATGCGCGCAGCTGGGAGCATCAGCGCCAATGATTGACAGCCCTTGGCATCACTTTGGTTTGACCTCGACGGCACCGTGGATTCTGAACTATAGCTAAGAGCAGGGAAGGCGGGACTTGCCCGTAATATTAGAATTAATAAAATGACTTATTTTATATCAACATTTAAGGCCAGGAGGTCAATTTAACACATTTCCTAAAACATTTTATTCATTTAGAGTTTCAGATTATCACTTTAATATTGCCAAGTGCAAAGTGTATATTGAATGTTTTGTAATTTAATTTGTGTGTACACTATTTGCAAAAGATGTTAAAGATGTTTAATATCTAAAATCAGTAAATAAGTTAGAAAAAAATACTCTAATCTATCTCTAATCCTGGTATTGGGTGCTACAATCAAACACCCATTTCCTTCAGACTTGAGTAGAGCAGTTGAGAGTGTTTATAATATTACTTCAGGCAGTGGGGACATGTGTTCCAGGGGAACACTGGGTGCCAGGAAGCTGTTTGGATTTCAGAGGGCCTCAGCTGCTCTGCTTTATGTCTTGTTGTGGGCTTAACCTCCCAGTGGTTCAGATAAGTGACAACAGTTTCATTTATTTATCTCTCCTCTTATATTATAGGAGGTACAATAAATGTCACTTTGAAATGTCTGCCGCATCACAGTTTATTCTCCGCATGGCACTCTTTCCAGACATGATGATGCTGCTGTTCTGTGTGATACATTTCAACAATAAAATTATCATTTCTCCTGTGCAGCAAGAGTCACACTTGGCTGAACTTTTTCCTCCACACATGATCAAGTTTAAAAGCATAGTTGAAAGAAAATCCAATCAGCCTCTATACTGTGGCTATGGACATTTATTTTTCATATATTTTTCAGCTCTGTTATCTGTGCCGATTCTTGTCAGACGTTGTCTGATTTTAGACTATTTCATTCAACATAATATATGAAATATATATATATATATATAATGTTTTTTTTTTGTGTGCAAAGATTTACTTTTTGTGGCATGGTCTTGAATATCCTGTAATAAGTTGTGTTTTTTCTGGAGCTGTTTGTATGTACATTTTGATTGTTCTTCTTGTGTCCCTCTCTGCAGGTGGTGAAGATGATGATCATTGTGGTGGTGACGTTTGCGCTCTGCTGGCTTCCGTACCACGTATACTTCATCGTGACGGGTCTGAACCGAGACTTGAGCCGGTGGAAGTACATTCAGCAGGTCTACCTCAGTGTGCTGTGGCTGGCCATGAGCTCCACCATGTACAACCCCATCATCTACTGCTGCCTCAACAGCAGGTAATCACACACAGCCAGGCCTCATCCCAGTAAGATAACATGATTACTATGTGTCAGCTTTGGATGGAGGAACTGGTGCCATAACAATCAACCCCTGTACAGATGCAGTAACAATGACCCGAAAATAATATGCACATACTTTTTAGACATTAAACGTGACAATTAGACTTTTTAATTCAAAAGTATTAAATATCTGTTGATTATATAATTACTTTTATCATTTATTTTTACAACATTGAAATTAACGTCTGCTAACACAGCCATGCAATTGGAAAGAAAAATAATTTCATATGTATAGACTGTACTATTGCTTTTAGTTTGAGTCATAATGTCATAATGGTACAATAATATTTTTACAGGACAGAGACAGAAGCTTATGAGCAAAGTTACATGTTTGTGCCAGAAGTTCCATATATTAGTGTGGATGAAACAAAAAATATCTCCAGGTCTGTTTTTTGATTAGAGAACAATGCCATAACATGTTTAGAAACTCAAGTGGCCATGGAATTAAATAAATTCCTTACTTATTTGCTGACACATGTGCCTGTAGGTTTCGAGCTGGCTTCAAGCGCGCATTCCGCTGGTGCCCTTTCATAAAGGTGTCTAGCTACGATGAGCTGGAACTGCGCTCCACCCGCCTCCACCCCACACGTCAGAGCAGCATGTACACACTGTCACGCATGGACACCACCACCGTCATGGTGTATGACCCAAATGAGCCTGACGGGGGCGCCGAAGGGTCCAGGAAGCTCCCCCTGTCGTCTAGGAAGAAGAGATACGTCATGTCTCGACAGCTGGAGGACATTACCAACTGCAACGGGAAGGAGCAAAACGGAAAAATGTCTACCATGCATTCAGAGGTGTTCTCATGAAGAATTTGTGACGTGTATATTGTACATAAACATAGTGATGACATATGCTGGAAATGAGGCAAAGATTCTACATGATAGTAGCTGAAGTAGGTGATTGCATTTGAGCCTTAAGAGATATGGATGCTAATGTGAGTGCTGCTTTTCACAGCTGCTTGCAGAAGGCAGTCATTGGTGAAATACTGTGCCGTGAAATCATACATTAAACAAAATGTATCACCTAAAAACAAGACAAAATGTGTACATTCACAGCTGCTGAAAAATACTTTTGGCAGGGATCTTTTTAAATACAACATTATGGGCCTCATTGGTCACACATATGTTCACATGCAAACTCATTTGTCATAAACGTGTTCAATACAACAAACTAAACCACTAACATTGCACACACAGTTTAGCACCTGGATTAATACATGAGGCTGAACCAAAAGACAAGACCCATACAGACTTTTGTACATTTACATGATTAGAGAGTCCAAAAGATGTACTTTTCATATATGATCATAAACAACTGTTAAAATAATGAGTGATAGTTGTAATTTGTCATTGTTTGTGCGCATGCTCACACACAGTGTGGAAGAATGAGTGCATTTGCCAACCTTTGCCAATGGAAACGCTGCTGACTGACCTCTTCTCTCTGACTATTGAACAAACCTTTAGGCTGTGTGACAGTTGTGAAAACCATGGTAGTGATTGAAGCCACAGCGTAAAACTGTGGTGTACATTAAGCACACCATTAATGATGTGTGCTATAGAGATATTTATGGTTTAGAATATATTTTGTTGATAATAGCGTACACACAGAGGTTTACAGCTATGTTTACATTGATCTTCTGTGGAAACAAATCTTAGAAGACACCAGTCTGCACTTTGCACTCCTCATTGTGTATGTGTGTCACTTATATACACACACACTCACATATGCACATACATTGACATGCACTTACACACTGACATGCACTTACACACAAACACAAAGGCAGACACATACGTATGGCACACCTGCACACAAACACGCAAGCATATGGTACACGTATACACAGTCAACTTTGTTCTTTGAATAATTTAGATAAATTGTAGATAATTCAGAATATCAAAAATGACACAAATGAGTCATCTTTGATGTGTATGTGAAAAAGATATGTTATAAGTGCAAAGGAAACAAAATAACAGAATAGATACTTTTCATTCTGGCATTTCTGTAAATGTGGCTTTTATCCAAGTTGAATACAAATATGAATGTTTTCTTTCTTTCCTTTCTTTTCCTCTCTATTAAAAAAAACAAATTAAGAAAACTATTAATTCATGCAGGAGATAGCACAAGGTTGGGATGGTGTAATTCCATTGATCAAGTGATGACCAGTTAAGGAAGATTTCTCTGTGGTTATTTTCATGTGTAATGGGCTGTGAAGAGAACATTTCTTATGCTCAATTTCCTTGGTCAACAGTGGTCTGATTGTTGTTTTATTATTGTTTGTTTACTTTTGTATACTCTTTATAAAATGTACTTTCAAATGAATTATTTATCTAAAGGCGCTTTAGAAGAAATACTTTATTATAAACTGAAAAAATCCACAATTGAAGATTCCCAAAGAAAGCTTTGCCAGCTTGTGTTGTGTTTTTTATAACATCAATCTGACTGCCAAATGCTTTAATGGAATAAATAAGAAAATATGATCTAGCAAATTGACTAATCATTGTGAATGTCAGCAGACCCATGAAAGTACTTTTGTCAGAATGTGTCAACTAACTTCTTTGAGAAGCCGCTCCAAGGTGTTTGTCTGCAGTGCCAATGTTGTAATAATAGTATTATTCTGTGTGTCGGTATTGTGTAAGATACACTGTGACTTGTTTGAATGTATTCAATGTGTGCCTATTGTGATTTTAAAAGGACATTAGCTTTTTTTGTGAACAACTGTTACTGTTATTGACTTTACTGCATTTTGTGCCTCTAATGTCAAATACAATGGTGTGCGAAACCGTGAAGCAAGGGGGAAAGATCCCCAAAAGGCATGAAGTAACAAAGGGATCATCATCAAAATTATAAAAGTGAAAATGCAATATTAAATGTCTCAATTTTGAATATAATACTGCATTTCTTTATTGTAATTTTTTTCATTGATTCATAGGTCCCCCCAGACGGGGACACTGAGTAATCCGTCAAAAGACCAAAGATGAGCCAAACATGTTTGATATTTCAGATTGTGGTCAAACAGCATTTTGCATCACCATAGTTACGAGTAAGTGTGAGATTGTGTAGAGCCTGAGATTAAAAATGTGACCAAAATCTCCTCTACTTATAAATAATTGTCTTTTCTCCTTGTAACAACACTCAAAGGTGAATTGAGAAATTGAGGAGAAACCCACAATGGGGCGACATTAACTCTGTAACATTGACAATAACAGGAAACGTTGTGTTGTGCTTTTTGGAGACCATTTCATTTTAACTTTTATGAAATGTACATGCGTCTGAACTTTTGCACCCCACTGTACATGCTGAATATTTATATATATATATATATATATATATATATATATTGATGAGAATATTAGAATATATAATGTTGTTATAGAATTTATAGAGCATCCAAAATGATTTCAATTGTATCAGCTCTATGTGTTTTGCTTTATGTGAGATTGCTAATAACTAAAAGTAAGTGTTATTTATGTCAAATATATATTCATATAACATTTGACGTGGTTTACATTTTTGACTGAAACAGAATACTTGATTGTATTCTAATGATATAAAGGAAACTTAAAAATAAACTGTATTGGCCTTTTTTTTCATCTTAATCCACTTTCAAATAATCCTGACCCAACTGAGAATAGGATCTGAAAATATCCCAGAATAGATATTAAGCAGTAAGAATGAGGAGCACACAACACAAGAAAAGTGAATATCAATGGAAAAATACAATCTTTATCTTTGTCTTAGTAAAGAAGAAAAGTATAGAATAAGAATAGTGTATTCTAAGAAATATATACTTTTATGTTTACACTGTTTACATGTAATTAGATGTATATGTCTCGTTAGACTCTAAGCCTATAATAAAGTCAAGCTTTTAAATAACTGTGAGGGTTTTTGCAAAACATTTGCAAGAACACATCTGTAATTCATAGATGGGTACAATCACAGTACTATTTGTGTGTCTGTACGAAAGAAAAAGTGCATTTGTTATTCATTAAGAATGTAAATGTCCATAAAGTAAGACGTGTTTGTGTCTGGAAAACACAATTGTGAATAAATTATGTACTTTTCAACACAAAATGCTGCTAGTATTATTTTGTTGTTTTTGATATTTTCCCGTAGGAGACATCCTCCAGCTGGATACATGTGTTTCCGTCATGTTCTAAATCATGGTTATTTTCAGTGACATGAGGCTTTTGAGCCCTAAATGTATAGAAAAGGTTCTGATTTTTGTACTTTCTTGGATATATGAATCATAAACTTTATATCGGGTAGGAACTCTTGCTTCCTTTGGAGCTGTTATTATAATGCCCTGCCATTGAGTTAATGCATATACACATTGGTCGTACTTGTTCAAATAAATCTCATGAATAAAGTACTGTAGATGTCCTTCTGAGAATACATACAATTTAAACATATGCACTTCTGTATCGCTGTCCAGATGATATTATATTATGCATATTTACATTATACTGTCTTTTGCCTTGAAAATGTTTTTCTGGGTTGGTTCCTCTTTTTGCTGTACTGGCCCATAGAGGCCAGCCACATCCCATTTAAGGCGGGCTGCCTGTAGCTCTGTAGTAATCTGCCTGATGAAGGTCTCAGGACCAAAACGCAGAATTTTCCATTGAACATATTTTTGCAAGGACAGCAGTGTACGAGAACCATCATTTTTTTATGTGCAAAGGGTCTCTTTCCTCCTCGCCTACACACACCTGCTCCAGCAATGGATGTGCAAAGTTCTACTTCTTAACATTGAGGATACATGAAATAAAATGAAAAATTGAATTTGATAAACGTACAGTTTAATTTTCACCTCACCTGTGAAGGTTAGCAATGACAGTGTGTATCAAAAATGATTAGATTATTTTGCAGCAGCAGAACAATGTGCTTCATGCATTTTGGATGAGAATGGAAATTGGTGTTGTGTCCTTGTGATGGACTTACTGCACTAATTGTCTGGTGGACATAGCTATGCAGGAAAAATTCCAATCGACAAGCATCCCTCTGGGTGGTGCCTCAAAACCGTGAAAGTGGACAATGTTCATTAGCAAGTCAAAGCTGAGATAATCCACTGCCACGAGCAAGTACAATGTAAGTGTTGGCAGGTTCGTAGCTTTTATAACCGTTCAAAGCAGAAGCGTCACTTCAGGATAATTATGACTTTTCTCTGATGAATAGAGATTGCACAACTGTATAATCTAAATAAGATGATAATGTTTTTGTTGTTTTGCAGAGACAAACATAGACAAGTTATGTTTAACAGTGCTGTTACTCTCATGGCATCACCAAGTTAAGCCGGACAGGTTCTCGTACTGCGGCTGTAAAGGGCCAAACTGATGCACTTCCCCACATTGCCTAGTAGAAGTCTGGTCTGTACGCGAATGATTAGTTTGCCCCAGGGCAGCTATGGCTACAGCAGTAATGTATAGATTGAATGAAAGAGAAAATGTTGCGTGTCCAGAAGAAATGTGTGTTATGTATGCGTGTCCTATATACAACAGTGCATTATTATTACATAAAAAGCTCAATACTTATTCTGGTGGTGCGTGGATTTCCAGTTCAACTACAATATGCACCGTTTTGCATAAATATTAAGCAGCAATAATATAACTGTGAGAAATGTTCATTCAGTTTCTCAGTTTACTTGAGACCAAACATTGTGGTTTACCTTACTTGGTCGGGGTGATTGTTAAATGGCATGATTCATTAGATATTTGTAAAAGAAAAATACTGTATATATTCTAATTACTAATATACAAAACAAATTTATATAGAGAAAGAAATAAAGAGCCTGGACGGATAAGGCTTTGTGTCTGTCTGCCCAGAGCCTAGACCCTGAAACACTTATCAGGGACCTGCCTGAGGATCTACAAGTAAAATCATAAAATTAATTGGAAAATGGACATTGGGCCAGTGGAGGGAAGCTACAACCTGGGAGATGTGTGAAGTCCGGCTGCTGCATTCTGAACCAGTTTTAAGGTATGCAGAGGTTTTTTGAATTGAGGCTTCAGACGCATTCACACTTGTTGGTTTGGTTCATTTCAACTGGACCGCGTTTGGATCACTTGGGAGAAAAATACTTCACAGATCTATTTCAAAAGATGTAAAGTGACTGAAGTGACCATACTGGGCACATGCTCAGTTGTTGGGTGGTTTGTCATCCACAAATAAGTGGAACCAAACTTGGTTCAGTAAAGTGAACCAGACCAACAAATGTGCAGGGGCCTCAAACAGGAAATCAGGGTCTTCATAAGTTTATGAAGTTCACCAATAGTGAGGATTTTATTCTAGTAGATGGAAAGTGATTGTTCATGAAGATGGCACAGATTATAGAATATAGAGGGCTGAGGTAAGTTTGCTATGAGCCCAATGATTATAGCACCCTCACTGATCCTCCAGCAGGTGGTGTCCACAGGAAATGGATAGCGGGGGCTTTGGGCAACGTGGGTTTTTGTTTTATTTGATGATTTGTGATGTGGACTGTGAAGCGCTTTGTGTTGCCCTGAGTATGAAAGGCACTCTACAAATAAACTTTGATTGATTGATAGTCATGAAAAGAAAGGAAACTCATTGAATGAAAAAGTGTGTCCAAAATTTTGGTCTGTACTGTATTTTAGATGAGCTTACTCAGACAAAAAAGGGAAAAGGAGTGGACCCCCCCTCACTCACCCCATCTCTCAAATAGTGACTCACATTTTTCATAATAGTATAGTTGTAGATCGCATTTTGCTATCTGATTCATTCACAACATATTTATTTTACATGACTCTTTCTGTTGGGACGATAACAGTCAGGTTCCCCAAACGACTGTCAAAGTTCAGCAGCTTGAACACTTCCTGCCAGATGACCAATGACAGCCTCGGAATAAGATCACGTGGTCACATTTCTCCATACCTTCCACAGTCAGCGTGCTACTTTTTAGCACAGGTTATTTGTTGGTGAGTGACACAGATCATGGCTTTTGTGACTTATCGTATTAATTTGGCATTAAGTAATAGCAGGGGCATTGGTAACTGTGGGCTAGCATTATAGTCTGCACACAAGAAACCTTCCTGTAACTAACAAGTTTTTTCTTTATCTTTTTTTTATTTTTATAAATACAGGCCTTTTCCACTGTAGTTTAGACAAGGATAGGATACAATTAACATATTATTCCATACACTCTGCTTTCTTACTCCGCGTTTAAATTCATTACGCAGTGGATTTAATTAGTAGATTAATAATATATATGCAACGATAACCCCATGATTGAATGCGCTTTTGCAGCTTTTTTCCCCCGGGGAGAGAAAGAACCATGGGCCGCCTGGATGGGAAAGTAATTGTGTTGTCAGCGGCTGCACAGGGGATTGGACGTGCTTCTGCAATTGTAATTACACCCGATTTACATTACTCTCATCAAAACATGCATTTGTTTGTCACTTTATAGGCTTTGAATTGGTTCCACATTTTGTAATAGATTTTCACCTGAAAATACACATAGGTTGGTTATTCGCATGGATATCTGTATACATGAATGCTAACTCCTCAGTTGTATTTCTCATGCTGGTAAAAATGGTCTTGTTAATAGGTTGAAAATACTTCACTTGTTTTGTTTGTTATCTGCTATAAAACTTAGATATTTCTTATATAACTCTACAGGCTTTTGCTAAAGAAGGTGCCCAGGTAACTGCAACAGACATCAATGGAGAGAAACTGAAAGAGCTGGATGGGATACCAGGTAAGGGAAAATAGTTATTTAACAGTGCCATCTGCTGGACAATAGAAGTAGTGCTCCCCAATTATTATTACTTTTTAATTGGATAGATACATTAAAAAAAAACATGATTTATTCCACACATTTCCGTGCAATCACACAAATGCCGTATCATATAAAGTTACAGTGTGTTACTTTACGTTTGTTTTCTTGCATCCTAATATGCTTACTACAATGTGCAAACAACATTCAATAAATAAAGAAGTAGAATCAAGGAAATGTCAATAAAAGCTCAATATGGAAGCATTAATCCATAAGGATTTAACATGTAATTTGAATTCAAGACATGGCATTTGCATTACAGGGATTCGTACTAAGATTGTGGACGTAACAAAGAAAGACCAAGTAGATGCCTTGGCAAAGGAGCATGACCATGTTGATGTGCTATTCAATGTAGCTGGGTATGTATTATTATCACAGCAGGTAAAAATTAAAATAACTCTTATTGCCATAATGTATCAGTTGCTCATTAGGTGACTCCCCTGTTATCAGAATATAATGTAATGAAAAATTACTTGTGTTACTGTTCCAAGGTTTGTTCACCATGGTTCCATCTTGAATTGTGAAGAGGCAGACTGGGACTTCACTATGGATGTCAATGTCAAGAGCATGTACCTCATGTGCAAAGCTTTTCTCCCAAAAGTACTATTTAAGTTCCATTAAAAACATGCCCCCATCAGTGACACATTCTTTTTCATTAGTTACCATCCCCTTGGATTACCAAGACATTCTGAGGGTGACCATACCTTTACTAATCCCACTTTAGCCTCCAACAAAACCCACAGAGTAAGAAAATCACACCAGCCAGCTGTAGCACAAAACACCTGCCTATTATTAGCTCAAGTTTTGAGAAATAACCTGCCCAAAACTAGGCCCATATGCAACATGTTGAGCCTTACAACAATTATCTTATTGGAGTGTAACAGGTACAATCCTAAATATTTGTTCTTATTTTTGAAATGTCCTTTTTTGCTCCTTTTACAGATGTTGGCAAAGAAATCAGGAAACATAATCAACATGGCATCAGTGGCATCAAGCATAAAAGGTCAATTATCACTGTACTCCTGTAGTTTTATGTTCCGGATAAGCAGCATTAAGTTGTAGAAGTATGAGCATGCTCATTGTAATCCTCTTACCTCAGTTAACTGCACTGTCTATGACTGTGACTGACATATGTTCCCTGCACAGGTGTTGTTAACCGGTGTGTCTACAGCACGTCTAAAGCAGCCGTTATAGGCCTCACCAAATCCATTGCAGCAGACTACATTGAGCAAGGCATACGATGCAATTGTGTATGCCCTGGTAGGTACAACTGCGGTAATTACATTGTTCTTAGAGGGTGACTCTTAGAATAATGCAATATAACGCAAATAATAGTTACGATGTTACGTAACTATTATTTACGTAACTATTATTTTATTATTTAGTTACGAAACCACAAATAAATGTATAATGTTTCAAAGTGAAAGAGCTGTCAAGCAGAATAGAAAATATACTGTATATATATTGTTTAGGTACTGTTGACACTCCATCATTGAGGGGAAGGATCCAGGCTCAGCCTGACCCTGAACAGGTACTCGGTGTAATCTTTCATTCTCAAAGCAGAAATAATGAAACATTTGGAACTATTTTCAGGCGTACAAAGATTTTATGGCGAGACAGAAAACGGGAAGAATGTGCACAGCTGAGGAAGTTGGATTCTTGTGTGTCTACTTGGCTTCTGATGAGGTGACAGTTTTAGTTTTTGGAATAATTTTGAACACAAATGGTTCTTAAATTATGTAATACAACGATTAATGTTATTGACACCAAAAAGGGTAAAATATGAACTGATGAAACGTCCAGCATTTACAGCTAGCTAAGAAACATAGCTAGCTGTGTCTTAGTTGGCTATAGGGAGCACTCAAAATTGTATTTTTGGGTGCTCCCTGTGTGCCCTTACTATTGCCCTCTATGTGCACTGCAACAATGAAATTTCCCCACTGTGGGACAAATAAAGCATCACTTATCTTACCATCATATCTATATGTGTGTATAAGTGTTCACTTGACCAGGGATTTTGTTTTTTTGTCTTTATAGTCTCTGCCTACTAGCCTTGTACCAGTTAAGATCCGCAATGATATGCTCTGTTGTATGCCTGCAAAAGCTGATATTCAATATTTCAAAGTCACTGGTTATAATGGATTTTTTTTTTAAATGCACTAATGTGTCATTGACCTCTTGTCATATGGTTGCAGTCTGCCTATGTGACGGGAACAGAACACATTATTGATGGCGGATGGAGACTTTAAGAAGCACCTGTCAATTTGACTGATGTGTATACATCTGATGTGATTGTCAAAAATAAAATCTCGAATATAATACGAATTGTGTGTGCTGTTTATTATAACTGCCTCGCTTGATAATGCCAACTGCTATTGTTTACATATCGCAAATAACTTTTTGAAACTAGTTTAAGGTTAAATACACTCTCCTCGTAGTATCCCCGGCTCTCACTAATCCGCCTTACTCCTCCTGCCCCAGCTGGTGAAGTTTATCTGCCACACTGAGCCGGGGACGGTGCATCAGACTGACTTCTGTTTAGGTGAGGGGCATTTTTAATGTTTATTCACAGTTGTGTATCTTCTCCAAAGAACGGCATGGGGATAATAAGACCATTCTAACTGATTTAAAGTACAGTGTGGATTGACTGGTACTTATCTTGGAAGACATATTGATTAACTATGGCTGTAAAAAGCACGCAGATGTGATACAGTATTATTTCAGTGATGTTTGGTTCATGCAGAGCAGCATCAGCAGCAGCAGCATCAGCATCAGCAGCATCAGCAGCAGCATCAGCAGCAGCAGCATCAGCAGCATCAGCAGCAGCAGCATCAGCTACAGGCTAAACACACAGGCTACACTTCGTTAGGCTATGCTAACATTAAAACATCAGTACTCTTGGGAATATTTTAGAGATGTTGCCGTCTTGTAAACTCGGTTCTTCTATTAAAACAAGGTAATGTTAATTGGCTTGGGTCTTGTTTCCATTTTAACCCACTAGCTAGCTACCTTAGCAGTGAGTGCCATATGGCTGAGCTGTAAGCATTAGTGAGGTCCTCCACAATTGGATTAACCAACTGCTGTTGCTCTAAGCTACTGTCAAAACACTGTAGTAACTCGTTCAACGAGGTAACAGGGCGTTTATAGACATGTCAATAACAATACATCACTTATCGTTTGACGCGGCATTCTTGTACTTTAACACACAACTACCCGAACCCTGTTTTGCGTTTGATAAGGTCAACTAATGAATGAATGGAAGCTTGAAGTCGAGGCAGGATACAATCAGAAGTCACAACCCTCCATGGCCAACTCCTCCCACTGGCTGCATGTACAGAGCTCACCACCGAAGTAAAGACATACTGTATTTCTGCTACGTGCCATGGAAGAGACTGAGGCCAAACCTCCCAGTCCAGAGCCTGTCCCAGCAGCACCACCCAGTCCTGCTCCCAGTCCTACTCCCAGCCCTGCACCCAGCCCTCTGCTGGAGAAACTCGCCTCTGCAGCCAACCATGTTGAGGTGAGCATGAATTAAAATGTAAACCCTTATTCAACCATGCATCAGTTTGAAATACCGGTTCACTTATTGAGACTTGTTATCACTTTTTGCAGCATTTAAATGTGAATCAGATCCAAGTGGTTGTACGGCGCTGTTCAAGTCCAAATCTTACAGAGGAGACCACTTACTTCATTCCCCGTAATCCGGTAGTGGATGCTGGCACCAACACAGACCCACCAGTTGTGTGTTGCCCTTTACTTCACAGATTTTGTCCCTGTCCACCAAGTGGGCTCTGGGCTTCCCTTGTTACCAAAGGTCTGTCTTTATTTTTGTGAATTCACTTAAAAAGTGTTCTGTATAAGTAAAATGTCACAAATATGAGTTTTGTGTTTTTGTTTGTAGTACTTTTGGCAGGTGTTCTTTTTGGAGTGGTTTGGTCCATTACAGAAGAAGAATGTCTCCCGGGAGGAAACCTATTTGGCATTACTATCATCTTCCTCTGTGCCCTAATTGGTGGCAAATTGGTTGAACTTATACGCCTTCCTGGTCTCCCACCATTTCCACCATTACTCGGTATGATTTACATTAATACAAAACCCTATCTAGACCATCCAATTGTATTGTGTTGTTTAGTTTTTTCTTGATTTTTAAGTAGAGTGGAGTACATGTGCTAATGTTATTACACACTAGCTCAGCCACAAATGTTCACCAACTTTCTCAGTCCCACACAGAGTGTTGCCATCTCATGTGTCTTATAGAAACACCTACTCTGCTTTAATAACAGTGTGTGATGGGACTTCTGATTCAGCATATCAGTAAAAAGAGAATCACATTTCTTCCTTCCCGCTGTGTTGTAGGCATGCTGCTGATGGGCTTTATGCTGAGAAACATACCAGTTGTAACAAAAGGGGTTTATGTTGACTACAAATGGTCAGCAGCTCTCAGGAATATTGCGCTGGCTGTGATCCTTGCCCGAGCAGGTCTAGGACTAGATCCATCGGTAAATAATTGTTATGTTCCACTGTTGTATTTGAATTAAATTCACTCATAAGTAATTCTTTGTCTCCACAAAGGCTTTGAAGAAATTGAAGTCAGTTTGTCTGAGGGTGTCTGTAGGGCCATGTGTAATGGAGGCCTGCACCGTAGCTTTGGTTTCGCACTTCCTCATGGGACTGCCCTGGGTGTGGGGTTTCATTCTTGGGTAAGTTAAACATACATACGGGAAGTATGTATATACATTACTTATCTAAACCTCTTGTTTGTACTATCTGTAATAAGTTTGTTGTAATTTGTTGCCCATCAACGTCTGGACTGTAATATTATCCAATTGAATGCTACTCTGATTAATTGCAATTCAATATGATAATATAGGTCCAAATTATTGGCATGCAGGAGAGGGATAGATTATGCCATGCAATATGGAGTGTTATAAAATAGAAGAAGCTGCAATGCACTGGTACCTGTGCATTTATCAAGTAGCCTCCACGCTGCCACCTTGCAGCTAAACAAAATATATTTTACATGCTCAATTATCAATATCAAAGTGACCGACACTGGCAACAAATGTATTTCTATTGACTCAATGTCACAGTATTGAGAGAGTTCATCATTTTCAATTATTTATATTACTATTATTAATAATTATAAGTTAAGCTTAATTTCATCTGTCTTTATACATAGTGTAAGAAGTCTTCTGTTTTCCAATATACTTAAATGTTGTATAAAAATGTATAGATTTTTCTTTTAATCAAAATTCGTCTTCACTATATAGATTTGTGCTTGGTGCGGTGTCTCCAGCTGTGGTGGTACCCTCCATGTTACTGTTGCAGAAAGAGGGCTATGGTGTAGATCAGGGTATTCCCACTTTGCTGATGGCTGCAGGAAGCTTTGATGACATTCTTGCTATCACTGGCTTTACTACCTGCTTGGGCATGGCCTTTGCCACAGGTAAGATGTCTGTCTGAAGATAAACAAACTGCTGATTCAGATTTTACAGTATGTGTGTCACAAGTCAATGTTAGCTTCAGATATCTGTCGTTTTGTCCTGTGCTGAACCGAGATAGGACATACTGTGTTAAAGTGTATTCATTCCTTGATTTCTTTTACTCACTAAACAGTTAACTTTGATTTTTCTATTTATGCTTGTAATATATAATTTACAGTATATGTAAGCCTCTAAAAGTGATGTTAAAGTAACTGTAACTCTATTTTAAATGTAAATTTATTCCTTAGAAGTGTTTTTATTTTTATTATCTCTCTCTGACTGTTGCACTGAGCCAAAGCAATTTCCAAGTCTGTGACTTCCTGTTACTTACGTGGCAATAAAAATGATTCTGATTCTGATGTTGTAGATAAAGCTATACTGTACATTTGGCACCACCAATTCTATTTTACTATATTACACTACTTTCAAAACATAAACTGAAATTATATGTATATAAAATGTCTTGTTTTGTAAGTGTCCACCAGATGCACCGATGATATTTCTATAGATGGTGTTTTTTGTGTGTGTTGTGTATCCATTGTAAGGATTTTCACAAGTTGTCTTGTGCATTTGATGTCTCTAGGTTCTACCTGGTACAATTTGCTTAGAGGTGTTTTAGAGGTGGCAGGTGGGACTGTTGCGGGTCTTCTCCTTGGGTTTCTGATCCAGTATTTTCCCAGTGTCGACCAGGTTAGTAAGCCCTCAGTGTTTTGATTGTCTTTTTGACAATCAAACACATTGTGACATTCACCATACATTTGATCTCTTTCTGTACAGAAAAACCTGGTGATAAAGCGGTCGTTTCTGGTTCTGGGTCTGTCCATCTTTTCTGTGTTTGGCAGTGCAGTGGCTGGTTTTCCAGGCTCTGGAGGTCTCTGCACGCTGGTATTGGCATTCCTTGCTGGCATCGGCTGGGGAGCAGGAAAGGTGACGTTTTAAGATGTTTCATTTATTTTTACCCCAAGACAACTAACCGCTGTATGTGTGCACAGGCCCGTGTGGAGGATGTGGTCAGTTGGATGTGGGATGTCTTCCAGCCTTTACTGTTTGGACTGATTGGAGCAGAAATACGGGTAGCAGAACTGGAGGGGCATGCTGTAGGTGAGATCATGTATGTTTAGTGCAAAGTAAGATATGAATAATAGTGCTCTTCACAAAGCATTCCTACTGTGTAAATGCAAATAAATTTGCATGACCAAACAACTATTCTGTGCACATTTAATAAGGTTGTATGAAATAGGATTCCTCTGAGTGTGTGATGCATTCACACGCATATTTCCATTTTTTAAAAGCGTGTATTTTACCAACCTGTTCATGAGTTTTTCTGGTAAAGTGGGCCTCTTCCACCTGCTTGTATAACCAAGCCAACACGTTATAGTGGAGCCATCACGCAGAAGTAAGATGTGCCTTTAGACCAAATGTTTAACTTTATAGAGAGAATATGTGAGAGATGTTTGAGGTTAGTGAGACCTCAAACCCTAACTGCTTCACTTAAGAATACACTCTCAAACATCAGCCCAAGTCTTCTCTCTCTTTTTAATATAGTTTAAGATATGATTCATTAAACATGTCGGCACTATGAGTACAAAGCACAAAGTTTAGCTTTCAGACAAAAATTTATGCTCAATGCAGATTTCAGAATTTTTTGTTTCCTTTTTGAATGTCTTTAAAGTGCATTAAACATGAAATACTCAGACTCTGCCCAAAGAACCTTTTTGGTGGAGACTAATCAAATTAAATTGTGCTGTACAGTGATCTAATCTAGGGCTAATCTGTTTTTGTGTTTCAGGTCTTGGTATAGCCTCTCTTCTCATTGCCTTGCTGGTCCGAATTCTCTTTACATTTGTATGTGTTCTGTGTGCTGGCTTTAACTTGAAAGAAAAGCTTTTCATAGCTCTTGCATGGATGCCAAAAGCCACTGTTCAGGTAAGCAAAACATGCCCATGAAAAGTAAAGTTTGATTTCAAACTGAATAACATTATCTTCACAACAGGCAGCTATTGGATCCACAGCCCTAGATATGGCCAGGACAAAACAAGATCAGGACCTGGAGAAGTATGGCATGGATGTACTGACTGTGGCTGTACTGGCCATACTTTTAACAGCTCCTATTGGTGCTCTTATTATTGGACTTTCTGGACCTCGGCTTCTACAGAAACCCAAGAACTCTTCCTGTGGGGAGCGAGTCAAACCCAATTTATCAACCTTTTTTTGGGGTAAATATTAAAAACATTCAGATCATCTCATGCAAATAGCTTACTGTACCAGTCACCTGTGCATAGAGTATAGATTTCCATATTTGTAGCTGAGTAGTGCTTTGCCTTCTCCGTAAATAGAACCATTTGTGTATTAAACTGCTACTATTGAACTGTTGTCTATATTTGGTATTGAAACACAATCTTTTTACATTTTTCTTCAGGCACTGCTGCTGGAAGTGATGAGGAGGAAGAAACTCCTATTACATATGAGAGCACTCTCTGACATAAATCAAGGACAATGTATTTTTTTTAAAATACAGTTACTTTTGTTCTACTACTCATGTCTTCTGCATGTGCTGCTTCATAATCTATCAAGGACACATGAATCATGGTATTTTTTTAAGCTTTGGTGAATTCCAAACATATCCCTGGCACCTAAGTGTTCTTCCACTACTGTCCAGCAAAGGTGTATTCAAATCCTTATTGGGGCATCATAAAATGTTTTACACTCGTACCTCACTGAATAACTACATTGTCATATTGTACATAGGCAGGCGTCTGACCACAAAGTAGATTTGTGCCTGTAGATTTGCATTGTTAATTTATTTAATTTTTATTAACTCACAACTTTGTTTTTTGCTTAGGTATAAGGTGATAGTTTAGTTTAACATCCTCAGGAGAACAAATGATTCTAAATGCTGCTAGAATATTATTTCAGTGATGTGTAAAGAGTTAAGCGATGTTATAGTGTAAATGGCGAGTTTGTGACTATTTTTTTATACAAAAGAATGCGGTGGAAATGTTTTTTTTAAATTATTTTTAGTCAACCATTTGATACTAGTTTTAAAAAAAAATACACAATAAATGCTGTCAAAGGAAATGTTTCCATTTGTTTACTGAATCAATTTATTAGAAAAACTACCTTGAATAGAATTTGGTTCCACAAAAATGTCAAAGATAACATTTAGCAAAAATGTGACATTTTAAAGACTATATACAGGATAGAAGTATTGGACATTCTCACTTGAGTGTGTTAAGTGTGTGTAAACCCAGTGAACTTGCCAATGTATTGTAGTAGGTTGGACTACTGTAACGGCCTGCTCACTGGACCATAAACGTGCTGTAAAACTGCAGCAATATATTCAAAATTTTGTCCCCTAGTCTTGACTAGAACCAGAAAGAATCATCACATTAGTCCTGGTCTCAAGTCTCTGTATTCCTGTCGCTCAGAGAATAGAACAGAAAACAAGACTCTCCATAGCCTACGACCAACATACAACATGTTAGTGCCATATGAACCAGCACAGCGACTGGCCTCCTGCGAGTGCCTAGAGTCAGGAATAAACATAGGGAGGAAGCATTACATATTTATGCAACAAAATCTGTCTCTTACCTTGCACATGATAACGTACAAAGATTGCTTCAAAAACTGTAAAGAAAACATTGCATTTATTTATGTTGATGGTATTAAATATTACATTGCTCTATTAAATCTCACGAAGATCTGTAGAATTACAATACAAAGTTGCATTGTCATCAGCTTTTAAATTTCATATATCCAGTTATGCTTTTAATGGATAGAGAAGTGAGGAACATGGCAGATTATAGCAGGAGTTCTTTACCAGTAAATGCTGAATATAAACAAGATATATAATGCAATTACTGAACATGTAACACACATGATTAATGGTTAAAACAAATAAAGCCATTATCATAGCCAACAATATCTTGCATCGTTCTTATTGTGGTCCACGATGTATCAAAACTTAAGAAAAAAAATATGAAAAACAGTAACATTAGAAGTATGGGTTGCTTAAAGCATGAAAATTGCCATTAAGATGAGGAAAATCTATCAGTGATAAGAATCTTGTTTGAACATTAAACAGATCCTGACATTAGCAAAAGGTTATAGAATCTTCTTTTTGAGTATAAGTGGTCCCACGTTGTCCCCAGTCAGCTCATTGTGCTTTAAGTGTGACTTATCACACACAGGAAACTAAAAGAGGAAAGATCTTTCATTAGTTTAATAATAATAAAAAAAAACATAATGTCCATGGGAATGAATACTGACCGTTTTAGAGCGCCAGCAGCGACAGTAACACACATTTGCACTATTTAAATCCTCAATGTCGATCTCATTTACCACTTTAGGGTTTTCTTTCTGTATTTTAAGGTTGATCAAACTGTCCCTTTGCTTTTTCTTCTTTGGTAGGAAAGGTCGAATGGTGAGATATCCCAACAATGCCAAAATACCCAGAAGGGGCAGCAAGCGAAGCCACTCTGAAACTGTAGAAACACATGTATTATAGGAGGCATCAGTGGCGGCTGGTGGAATTTTCTACTGGGGGGGCTATGAATATGATGACTAGATATATACCAGCAGTAAGTAAGTTTACACTGACTGTTGTGACTGAAGCCTCACACGAGAATCAACAAGGTCACATGATGCTTTCTGATCCCTACCCTGTAGCTTTCATCCAGCTGGGATGAAATATTTATCTTCCCAAACATAGCTAATTTGAGGGCATTTTGCATGTGGATACCAGTCTGCTCATGCTTCTTTGCCTTTTCTAAAAAGTGCTTCAGATCAGTCATACCTGTCTTGATCCATGCTGGGTCAGATCCTGATGTTTGAAACAAGAGGCATGGAAAGCAAAATAAAGCATTAGCCTCGCTACATGCTGCTAGCCAAGATTTGGCGCTGAACCAGGTCCTGGAAAAAGTACGAGTGTACCGTCTCCCCCTGTCGCTGGACTGCTGACTAATGGTAATATTTGGCTGATCAGGTCCAAGCTCTTTAACCTCAACCTTCTCCTGGTATGATCTTCTCTCAAACGGTATTGTTTTGAGTGATCTAACTGAATTATTCTTTTTCTCGTTCTCCATTTTGCGTCTCTTTACGTTCGTCCCACAGCTTGACCTGTCAATCACTGTAAACAGACGTCACAGACAGTGACAGTACAGGTCGCGGGCGACCCCGCCCCCTCAGGGCGCACTTCTCCTGCGCCCCCAAATCGTCTTATCTCTTGCATTGAAGAGGAGCTACTGCGCATGTACAACTTTTAACGAGAGTCCATAGACGGCTCAGGGCGCAATCTTTTGCGCCCTGAGGCGGAAATACGTCCTCAGTCCGACACAGACAACGCTGATGAGCACAACTCAGCATAAACTATAAAGTATTTCTTCCACATCTGAAATAAAACACACATAAATTTCGAAATATTTTAATGTTATTATTTTTTTTAACGTTTTATTCAAGGTAACATGGCAAGTTGTGAGTGGTGGGGCGGCGCCCTAGCGCCCTCTATTGGCCGGCCGCCACTGGGAGGCATGATGTGACTTGCGTTCTAAATGAAAGCAATTTCCGATAACACAATTTGATCACTAAATGCAAGGGGAAAGCATGTCCTCACTGAATGTTAACTCATGGCAACATCTAAGATAGTGGATACGACACAAGTGCAAGTACAACACAACGGCACACAAAGGATGCAGACTTTTGAAGGAGGAAAACTTTTCAGGCAAGAACATTATGCAGGGCAATAATATTCACCTGTCAATCGTGCAAATCCACCGATAGACTCCGGGAGCGGGAGCCTCTTGAGATAGGCCGGAAGCTGGACTTTAATTATCCTGGATACACTTTCTAAAACCATTCTGAAAAGCTCTCAATGAACAGGTCTTGTGTTTGACATGAAGAGTTCCTGATGTTCGTTCATGTCATTACGCCAATTTCGTAACTCTAGCACTGTGCGGTGCGTAAATGTGACGAGAACTCAATACGCAATGAAGCTCAACACGGCGGAAATGCGTTCGTGAATATACGTCATTACGGTGGATGGAGTTGGAGAGTTTGGATTGGATGACATTTTTGACTTGCAAAATTGGATTAATTAGATATTTGAGATAACTTTTTTCATGTCGCAACAGTTTAAGGAAATCCTCTCTGTAATTCTGTTGTCATTTGTCATTTCCTTACCAAGGGTATCTGCAATGCTAACGAAACATTGTAGTCGTGTGTACTCGTTCATATCATAGACTGTAAATATTACATGCATTTATGAATGAACATGAACGTAAAAACATGACGTACAAACAGAAATAAATAAGACATGCACAGCGGAAAGTACCCTGAAGGTGAAGGTTATTCAACTGGAATATGTCGGCCTCTAGTGTTCAGCTTTGTAAATCTCCGAAAAAAAGACTACATCACCCAGAGTTCTTTGCGATACAAAATGCGCCCTGTGTATTTGCCATAACATAAAATCGATTAATCCTAAAATTATACTTCGATGCCACTTGCAAAAAGTACAAAAACTTAGAATGTGTGAAAATACTTAAATTCCCCACATTTATTTTGGGTTTAAGTGAATAATGTTGATGCAGTTTTGGTTTTAAAAGCTGATATTTGTGGCCAACTAAAATACATCTTGTTAGGTCCTCGCGCTCCGGTGTCATTGGTGAGTGACCGAAGATGTCCCATGCCAGGTTGTTTGCCAGGCTGCTGTGTAAGTATTTTACTTTAGTTCCCGATTTGGTACGTTATATTGTTGAGGAGCTATGCTTGCATGCATAAAGCTATATGTGTTGATCTTTATTGTGATTGTCAAAGTCACAAGAGCATTATCTGTGACGTGCTTGCTGTCAGTGGTATGCTAGCAGGATTAGCCATACTCGAGCAGGCACCTTTCCTTTAGTGACAGTGATTTAGAAAGACAGACCAACCGGACACTGACCAGAGAAGTGTTCTGAAGCCCCATCTCTGAAGCTTTTTATTTTAACTGCTGGGTGTCCGTTTACAGCAGAAACTTTAACCTTAAATACATGTGTGGACTCTGCTGAATTCACCAACAACATTTTATTTACCATAATATTAATTCATGCTTAATAGAACTCAGATGGGGCATATTTTTCGCAGAACTTGAAGTATATATTAAATATAATGCATAATGTAATGCAGTAATATAACTGATTACTTCTGAAGTGGACTTTGCACCTCGCAGTTGATGAGTTACCTGAGCAGTATGAACTTTTGGTCAAAGATCAATACCTGTTGTTGATGTGTCTACGGTCGAGGATGGCTTTTGGGGTTGCATTTGTCAAAAGTGCAACTAAATGTGGTTTCTCTGAGTGGTAATGATGATCATGATTTTTCTTACAAATGTCAAACCATTGAAACTTCTTGAATTTGTTCAGATCTCGTTACCTTGCTCCATAGGTGGTACTGACTGAATAGCTGTCTGATGCAACATATTATATCTTACTTAAACACATTTTAAAATGATAAACTATGAAAGACACTCGGATATTTTTCATTTCCACAATGTGGGACAAATAAAGAATCTTTTATTCTTAAGATTAAGAGAGCACTAAAAAAAATAGTCATATCTCAACCTGACCTCGTCTCCCAATTGTATCGGTAGGTCCTTTTTAAAAATGTGTTGCTATATTTTGGGGTTTGCAACATGGGTAAGATTTTATGTTATGGCCTCTGAATATGCGGCAGCTCAGGAAAGCCAAGCTGCCTGCACAGATGTTGGTGCAGTTCTACACGGCCATCATCGAGTCCATCCTCACCTCCTCCGTCACCGTGTGGTTCGCTGGAGCCACAGTCAGGGACAAACAGAGACTACAGCGCATTGTGCGCTCTGCAGAGGAAGTGATCGGCCGCAGCCTTCCATCGCTGCAGGACCTGTACGTCGCCCGAGCTCGAGGCCGGGCTGGTCGTATCACAGCCGACCCCTCTCACCCTGCACATGGACTATTCCAACCACTCCCCTCAGGCAGGAGGCTGCGGTCCATCAGGACTAGAACCTCCCGCCACAAGAACAGTTTCTTCCCCTCTGCTGTTGGACTCTTGAACACTTCTTAACCTGTCCCCCCGCCCTTTATAAAGTCACTTTACTGCCCATCATACGTCACCTTACTTCACTGTACTACTGTCACCTTACATTGTGCGCACCATGTGCACTTGTATATTGTAAATAGTAACTGTAACTCTATTTTAATTTTAAATTTATTCTTTAGAAGTGTTTTTTTATTCTTATTTTTATTATCTCTTTTTGACTGTTGCACTGAGCCAAAGCAATTTCCTAGTCTGTGACCTCCTGTTACTTACGTGGCAATAAAAATGATTCTGATTCTGATTCTGAATATGGCTGTAATTAAGCATTGCAGACGTATGATATAATTATTTATTTTAATTTTAAGAATAATAATGTATTAGTTGGATAATTAAAAGGCTTTGTTTTGGTAAAATTTAGTAAAAAACATCTAAAGTGAAGCCATTTGGAATTTTGCTCTAACACAGCATGTTTGATTGACTCTTATCTTATTTTAATTATATTGTCTATTATCTTAAATAATAGACTGTATTTGATTTGTGCAACCTGAGTGCTCTTATTTACTTCTTTCTCTGCTGTAATGAGCTCAACGTTGACACTGAAATTTCTCCGCTGTGAGACGAATACAGGAATTTTCTATTTCAATCTGCAGCGGTCTGACGTCAATATCAACACCACATTAGTCTAGGCTGTTGTGGTCAATTGAGCCAGGGGTCATAACATGACAATTTCAATTATAAATGAGTTAGTAATTGATCAATGTTTAATCAATTGATAAAAGTGTTATACCAGTTGAACTGCAGAGGGTTGAAAACACTGACCCATCTTCAATTATTGGTTTATTCTGCTGACTTTATTTAGCCAAATGTTAGCCTTTGCTACCCTGTTTCTAATGTAACTAATGCATAATTTTATATTGCGCTAGAGACAAGGGGCCTTGTTATCATTTATGATTATTTCTTTGTTGCAATGCTTGTGTTATCATGACAGGTATTGTCCAAAACAAGTATCTGTGTCTATGATAGATGATACTGATTCAGAAAATCATTACAATAAGCAGCAGAACCATACAATAGAGCAGGATACCCCATATGAGATTATCTTTAGAAGGCATGTTTTAAGAAAAAATTGAATCTTCTACTACTATAACCTTATTCTACTAAGACTATGGTTAAAAACCTGACAACTGCAAATGAAAATTTAGACTTTAATGAATAATATGCACGTTTTCCATCCTGCCTTTGCAATCGACCAGTTGATTGCAATCAATTATTGAACCTCTCAGTTGATATTGTAACCATGGTGACAGGCCTACTGCTATTCTTATCGCTTTCTGTTTCATGTTTGTTTTTTAGTGCAGCAGAGTGGAGTTAGGCACTGTTACACAGGATCAAGAAAACACCTGTACATCAATAAGGACACTAAAGTCATCTGCCAAGGGTTCACAGGGAAGCAGGTTTGTTCCATTTCATGTGACTGGAGAATTGGTAGACTCTGAAAGATTCCCTGAACGGTACATGATATGACGCGTAGATACTGAGGACTTTTTGATGCATGAGAAAGAAAGCTAGCGGCAAGCAGACAGCCGTATGGCAAGTTTTTAAAGTAAACAGTTTGGAAAAAATGTGGTATCGGTGTATCCCTACAACTAATGTTTTATTTTTATTTGTAGTGTTTATTTTGTTTGTTACACAAACAACAGTAATAGTAGAGCATAACTGTAAATCCATGCTTTTCAATTAAATCCTGCCAGCATCCCCTTAGAAGAAAACGTTTTTGCGTGACTAAAAGTATGCAAACGTTTTGTATTAGTTCTTTTAAAAATACATGTACAGACACAAACTTGGGTCCAACCAACATGCATTGTTAATGCAAGGGAAACGTTTGGTACCCCAGCTTTAATTTAGTTTCAAATGGAGTGGTGACATAGTATGGGGATTCTTGTTTTTGTACATATAGAAAAAACAGAATGTTCCTTATGGTCCCTTGTGCCTCTTCTTGCATTTCACTTGCCCATGTGAGAAGGATTGCTGTAATGATAACGTATCTAAAGCAGGGGGGGCTTTGGAAAAAACAAGATCTACTTTTAAAATGAAAAGTGAGCTGAGATCTACTTCTGTATCTAATAGGGGTGTAATGATTCAGAATTTCACCATTTGGTTCAATTGATTAACCCCATAAGAAAATAATTCATTGGATTATTTTATTGAGATTATTCATCAGATAATTTATTTTAACCCTCCTTTTGAAGAGTTAATATATGGCAGCATTACAAATTCTACAATTTTTGTAGACTGTTCATATTGTTTTGATTGGACTTAAGACACATTAAATAAGGTTTTTTCTAAAATGTGCAGGTTAAAAGGCATTTTTGCTTGTTCACTTCAATGTTAAACATGACACTTTATCCATTTGTCTTGAAATAAAGTGTATTTTTTCATTTAATTTATGCCATAAATAAATATAAGAGAAAAATTATCGTAGGTATATTTTTGACCAATATATCAATAATTGCTGCATCGTCATATCGTGAGATAATCGTTTTCGTGAGCTTTGTATTGCACATCGTATCGTATCGTAAGGTACCCTGAGGTTCCCACCCCTAATTTTCACTGTTGTAAATGACAAGCAATTTCATTTGAAATTGGGGAAAACTGTGCCTAAAGCCAATTTGTACAATTTCTAGCTCAATCAGTTTGGCACTTGTTGTGCAATGCTGCATATGGACAAACTCATTACAAACTATTTCTAAAACCCTTTTGGTGGGCTAGTAACACCGGACTCACCTTTTTCGTTAGTGGATGTATTTTTAAAACAGTCAATGCAGTCAAATGAAGTGAAACTTCTGTAACTGCTGTAATATGTTTTATTATTTTACGCATTTCTTTCCTCACACAAAGGTTTGGGATGTCTACTTTGAGAAAAACTGTCAGTAAAAACGCCCTTGAGGTGTCACTGCTTCCCTAGAGGCACATGAAATGCAGCACGTCGCGGGAATGGTGTTTGAACAGTCCTGCAGGATATCCAAAGCTACATATGATTTGTTTTGTGACAGTTCTGAAAGCAGATTAAACTTGCGACATTATTCATCCGTCAAAGTGCCATCCCATTCTATTGAATACATTTGCCACCGCCTTCCATGTCTTTTAAGGCCGCACAGGTTATTATTCCAGTCGCTGTGTGGTTCAATCTCACTCAACGCTGCACAAGTGGTTGTAGTCTACTTCATTACAGTTTTGCCCACTCTGACTCATCTTTCCTTTCAGGGAACATTTCACAGTCAGCAGGCTCTTGACTATGGCACCCGGTTAGTGGGGGGTGTCTCACCAGGAAAGGGAGGAAAGGAGCACCTTGGCCTGCCAGTCTTTAACTCAGTCAAAGAAGTAAGCATCTTTTCATGTTCCTTTTTATGATCTCTTGTGCTCAGAATAAGATATCTTTTATGTAGTATAAGGTGTGATGACAGTGGGTAAATCACTTAGCAGTCTGCATATCACATGTTTTCTATCAGCTGAGACCATTCAAATGTTGACATTCAAAATATGATTCCATCACTTCAATTTGCAAATGGCAAATAAATGAATCTAAATCTGAATCTGATCTGAATCTGAATCTGAATGAAGGTATTAAGGCTTCTCTGTGAAAAAAAAAAAAGCATTTTCCTCATTCCTGTCGAAATATGTATTACTATAAAAGCTGGAGAAAGGCTTTCAAAGATAAATATTTTCTGTTATGTGATTAATCAACATTGGGGGTAAATTTGTCTTGTATCGAAATATTATTCCAACTGTACCTTTTTAGGCATGAGGATGACTAAAGAACAACGCATGTCTGATCTAAATACCACAGTGACTTAAATGTGTATCGGTATCTGGTGTTTTCGAAGATGAGTGCATTTTCGGTATCAGTTTTGAATAATTTGCCTTTCCACTCAGCGGCGACACGGTGGATAGCACTCTCGCCTCTCAGCAAGAAGGTCCTAGGTTTGAATCCTGGTCGGAACGGGGTCTTTCTGAGTGGAGTTTGCATGTTCTCCCTGTGCTTGCGTAGGTTTTATCCGGATCTCCGGTTTCCCCTACCACTAAAAACATTCACACAAGGTTAAATCCTCCAGCTCCGGTAGTCCTGACCAAGCCGAGCATCAACATCTGGAGATGGATTCCCAGGTGCTGTTACTATGGCGACCACTGCTCCTGACGTAAGCCTTGGCGGCATCAGGAAGGGTCAAATGCAGAGGATGAATAGCCCTACGGGGATCAATAAAGTGCACCTTTATCTTTACCTATGCCCAGATGTACTTTATGCAGAAAGAATCCAGATTACCTGGATCATATGTAAATGTTTACTTGACATTTCTATAATGTGAAGTAAAGTGTATTTGTATTTTGCCTTTGATAAGACTTCTGTTACATGGAAACTTTGGGAATAAAATGACTGTTCGTCTCATATCTCGAACTGACACGAGGTGGCACTGTTGCACAACCGTAGGCATGTGGTCTGGCTCTCGCTCCAGCAGTTTCTGCTTTTTCCCCCTCAGGCTCGAGAGGGCACTGGGGCAGATGCCACGGTGATTTATGTGCCCCCACCGTTTGCGGCGGCGGCCGTCATTGAGGCCATTGACGCAGAGATGCCCCTGGTGGTGTGCATTACTGAGGGCATCCCCCAGCAGGACATGGTGCGAGTCAAGCACAAGCTGCTGCGCCAGGGCACCACACGCCTCATAGGCCCCAACTGCCCCGGAGTCATCAATGTAAGCACACAGCATTCACACGCCTGTTAAACCACCACAGATCTATCATGCTCTAAGTGTTGAGCTTTTAGTTTCTGTTTTACGAAGATGGGAAAGGGGTTGTTAAAAAGCATTACAGAGGTAATTTTCACATTTTAATTTAAAGATAAAATACATTCCTTTGTTCTATTGATTTTAAGTGTAGTTCCAGAAGACTGCCCAATCAATTTTATTTTCACCTACCATGAGCTCTCCTTCAGTTTCATGCAAACATGCTATTATTTCTTCTTGAGTTAAGAATGACAGATCTGCAGGTTGTGTATCCGTTTGTTGTAATGCTATATACTGGTAATCTATTTAAAAGTCACTTTCTGTTTTAGTCACTTTCTGTTTTCTTAAATGACATTTTTATTCATGATGCAGCATTACTGTTTTTTTCTAGTTGTCTAATGTTTAGTTAAATGTTTCTTTTTCAGCCTGGAGAGTGCAAAATAGGGATTATGCCTGGTCACATTCACAAGAAAGGAAGGATTGGTAAGGACCTGCTCATCTATTATTTATTCATTTCTTGATAGCTGTATCTAAAAGTCTCCGTATACATTGCATTGCAGTTTAGGCTGCATGTCCCTCCTTCTGTATCTATTGCTGCTGGTTTTTTCGTTGTAAAACTATGACCGCTAATCGCCGCTTGAGCACAGTGACTTCTTGCTGGCCCCCGAATCTTTGCAAGTAGTCTCAGTTTGGCATTTTAAGGCCTGACATGGCCATTGTTCCTCCTGCTTCGACCAAACAACTGTTTGTGAAGAATTCTATGAAAAAAAAAAAAAATCTACAAACCTTTTGTTTTGTTTTAGGTATCGTGTCCCGATCAGGCACATTGACATATGAAGCTGTCCATCAAACCACGCAAGTGGGCCTGGGACAGTCACTCTGCGTGGGTAAGCCTCCACTCCCGTATGGCATGTGAATTTAATATTAGCACGCTCTGTGGCAGCTCTTAAAGGGTCAAGGTTCTGAAATATTCTACACTTTGTTTCCAATGAGAAAGGCGACCTGTATGTGTGACCTGTTAAGGTTGGTTACCTTAAATTGTTCACAGGTTGCCTGGTGTAAGAGCCAAACATGTGCAATTATTGGCCTGTGGTTGGTGCATGCATGTTTTGTGTGTGGGAGCACTGTGTAATGACATGGCGTGGGAGACAAATGCCCACAATTGTAAACCGCTTTGTGACTCTGGTCTGTGAAAGGCGGTATATAAATAAAGATTACTTACTTACTTACTTAAATAAACATTGATTTTTATATTAGCCAGATGACATGTGGACCAATGCATTGGTCAATTGCTGACACAATTTAAAGTGCGTCAGCCATAGCTATCAGTGTTTAGGCCCATCTCAGTGGCAGAAGCACTGTTTGGCCACTAAACCTGGATTTTTAAATGAATGCAATAATATTTGTACACAATGGTGTATATATATATATTTTGTCTTCTTAGCTGAAATATTTATCATGATTAATGTCTTTCAAATGGTTATGATCAATGCTGACTTTTTGTTGTTGTTGTATGTAAATAACTTTTGCTAGATCTAGTCTGTATGCAGTGTCTCTGCTGAATTGGAGGAAAACGCTCTAATCAAAATAATTTTTTAAGCCTTTCCATCTGTTGCTGGAAATTTTATGTATATGTCAAAGTAGCTTAGATGCTAAAATTAATTGAAAAACATTGGCTGCCTTATTATTTATACATTTTTATTATAGGCTGTCCTGGCCAGACTTCATAAAGCTAATGCTGCATCTGTATTAACATGGGAGTTCATTAAAGGGTTTATTGGTGCTTCAGTAGGAGACTTCTTAAATCTGAGAATGACCTCAGGGGTCCTACAATTTGCACTTACCACAATATTTAATATCAATGCCGACTTTGTTCCTGGCAATGTTGCTCGCCTTAACTGTAATTATTATGCAAGTGCTCAAGGTTTTTTAATTATAGTACAGAACATAAAATTGATGTTACACCATTTTGCATGATTCTTGCCTTTTATAAGTGTCCTCAGATAGTTTGCGTGCAATAAGTAATTACATATTGAACTATGAAGTGAACATTCTTTTGAAGCTTGAAATTACATCTTCTAATAATTGTGGAAGCAAAATTGTTCCTTTTTGAATCATTTATACACATCAAAAACACAGCTTTCTTCTTATATTACAGACATGTAATTGAATAGCAAGCTGTTTCAATTAATTCTGATGATGGGAAAAGAAAAATAATGTTACAGTAGAAGGAAATGTTAAGAGTATCGATTAATTTCTGATGATGAGAAAATAAATGGAAAGACTTTTTAAATATGGGCTAATTGTTTCCTCATAAGTGTCTAGAAGTAGTGACAATATTCAAAAAACATATGCATGTTGACCAGTAGAAGGGACACAGGACTTCATGATGATGACGTATTCTTATACATAATTATAATAATTACAAAGTGGCGTCTAATCATTATCATATTATAAACTGGGGAAACATTTTGACATTGTCATTTTTCAAAATGTCTTTGAAAAATTGCTTTGTTCCCAGTTTTATAGGCTGCTTCCCTGCGACCAAAATGAAATGCTAGAACACGACGTATTCTTTTGCATACATCTGTTTCTCATGATTAATCTGTAGGGAAATAACATATCTAATCTATATTCTGGGTGTATTTAGTTTTGTGACCCTTTTGTCTGAATCAAGTCCTATTTGTATTTTAATTTGTTTTTCTTATTGGGTTGAAGGCAAAGCTGTCAGGACAACATTCAGCAGCTAAATGGCCACATAATCCTCCAACATGCACAGCGCTGGTCCTTGTGGGAGTCGTAAGTGTTCTGGTGTTTACTGTGTCTGTTCACAGGGATTGGCGGCGACCCTTTCAATGGCACGAATTTCATAGACTGTCTGGAAGTGTTCCTCCAGGACCCAAAGACCGAAGGCATCATTCTGATCGGCGAGATAGGAGGCAACGCCGAGGAGAACGCGGCAGAATACCTTAAACAGCATAACTCGGTACGTCCCCTCTTTCAAAACCCAATTCCCCCCCTCTTAAACTCCCACTTCACCTCATATATCAGCTCCTATCAATTATTTAGCCCTGTCTGAATTAGCCCTTACTCATGCCCTTTCAAATCTATCAGAGTGAGTGAAGTGCAGAAAGCGTTGTATTTTCAGAACAAGGCGAACTTAAAAAATGTCCTTTTGCGTTTGATCCTTGCCTGAGGCTTTCTCTGGTGGCTCTGTCTACACAAAGGAGCTGGCAAATGAACGAAGGCAACATTTCACTGCTCTCAATCCAGAATTTCAGAGTGTTGACGTTTCAGAAACTGTCGCAAAAGTGGTCCACTCCGAAGCTGTTTTGATATCTGCTATCTATGTATTACATGTCCATATTATATTTGTATGTATTTATTTTTATCTACCCAGGGAGACGAACCTCTCTTTTATGAGTTCCTTGCCTCACACAGAACAACTAACACATACATAATCACAATACTGCTCAATCGTTTGTTTAACCTTACATAGCTGAGATTTTATGACTTTGATATTTAAATACAAAAAAAAATATAAGAGCTATGTTTATACTACTCGATTAATACTCAATTCATAGATAAATACAAGGCAAACCTAGCTGGTTATTCATGGGTTTCAAGAATGAGTGCTTTAAATTCAAAACCATCGCTTGAATGACTAACTTTCTTCCTTGATCTAAAGTGCTTTGAATGTCCGGAATGTAGCAAGCATTTGTAAGAATTGTGTGGAGCCATTTTCTGTTTGGGATCAAAATGAGCAGTTATGGTCTTTGATTTTGCCGACTCCAGAAAATGTTGCCTTTTTTACTGGAATTTTTAAATGACATTGGAGTCAAGATTGTTAGTTTCAATACTTATCACAATCTTTCATAGAACAAAATTAGTTAGTTTGATAAGCTGTTTGTAAGCTAAGGGTTTTTTTCAATGGGAGTTTCATTCAATCAAGTCACTGGAATGATAATGATCACAACCAAGAATTATTTTTGTGGGGGTGACATGTAAATGATGTAATTCCTGACTAATATTGTAAAAAGTATCATTGAGATTTATATATACTTTTTTAAAGAGAGAGCTGGCCAAGGTATCAGCCCGCACATTCAACACAATACTGAGAGAATAAATTGTTAGACAAACTTCCTGTCTTGAGCCTTTTACCAGTAAACTTCGTTGTTTATGTGTGTTGCCTGTGACAATGGTATATTGAGCTGAAAAATGGATCTGATTTGCGCTTGCTGCACCTAATGCATGCAAATGTCCCTCCTGCATCTCTCCAGAAAGTAGCTAAACTTTAGCACAATAACATCATGTAGACAATGAAGGTCAGTTGTGAATGGATACCATGACACAATACCAGTTTGCTAAGAAATTGGTTTGATTTCTGTAAATCTTAAAATTCCGTTTTTGTGCCTTTGGTTTCTTTAGTGCAACAATTGTATGTTTCTCAATTTTCTGATACGAGCTTATTGGAATGCAAGACACTGAAACTCTTACCTAGAGCAGCTCCCGTAAGTGTTTTGCATTAATATGAAACATGCAGCAGCTGCAAAGCAGAGGCAAGGATGCTTCAAACATTAATGTGCACAAAAATCTATTCCTCCTTCGGGGAAAAACTCCCTTTTTGTGCTTTTTCTTAAATATTAATTTATCTTGTTTTGAATTAAAAATGCAACAGTCTTAAAGTATCATAATGTACTCAGTGTAAACTATTTAACACTCAATTTCTGTTTTCAAATGTTAATTAAGGTCTTTAAGGAGGTCCTGGGTTCAAATCCCGGTCGGACCAGGGCCTTTGAATGGAGTTTGCATGTTCTCCCCGTGTCTGCGTAGGTTTCCGCCGGGTACTTCGGTTTCCCCTACCACTAAAAACATGTACAATAGTTCTGGCATGCGCCTCCTGTACTGGCGACCCCGCTCCCATCTGAGTGAGAGACAAATGCCCAAAAATAACAATTGTACACTGCTTTGTGACTCTGTCTGTGAAAGGCGGTATATTATTATATATAGTATATAAATAAAGATTACTTGCTTACTACTTACTTACTTAAAATCTTTTTTTAAAACCTTTGTGAAGGACTGATTTAAAAACGTATTTAGTTTTAACTGAAGCCTTTTAATGTATTCTGTTACATGGTCCAGTCAGAGAACTGTATAATATGTTTTGGCTGATTTGCATATGAGAGTTGGCAGCAAGGTCAACTGATTTACGGGAGACGCGTTTATACATGTCTCACAATATCTGGCCGAAGAGGGTTTTATGTACACCATCCTGTTGAAATGGTGAGTGTATTCATTCAGTTGATGAAATTTGTGAATTTTTGAAGTCTCTCGTTCAAATGAATGGAGCTGCGCCGACTGACGCATGTGCAGATGCGTTTTTTCACAATTTTCTTGTGGGCGGGACCACTCGCGGCCATTTTGGATTGCTCCAGTAGAGCACATTTTTTGGCCCATTAGTTAGAACGGCGGAGATAGGCGTAACTCTGTCCGTTAATATATACAGTCTGTGGTTTTGCTGCAGCCGAATCTCGGGTGCATCCTAATTCTGAAATCAACCTTCTCAACCTTCTTACCCTTCTCCTCTCTTCCTTATCATTCATATCATCATTGGAAGCATAAAATTACCCTAAGTGCATTTTAAATTATCTTAAAATGTGTTATGTATGTTAGCCAAACCTGTTGCTGCCCTTAGCAGATGAAGAACAAGAAAGGAGATTTCTGATTAAATTGGCTGCAGAAGAAATCTGGGCTCACAAGCGCCCCGTACCCTGAGGCTGGCCTCACTTTGTGATATTACAAGCCGTGGTTGAGCGCGATAAAGACTCATATTAATTGTCAAAAACACAATTTATGACCCATCCCCTCGACTGTTGACATGTTGATTGTAAATATGTTTTACCTTTGTAAACCGTAATAAACTGAGAAAAAAGTTTGATAGCGGCGCTTTTACGTCTCAAGTGAGGCTCGCTTCACAGCGCCGCTCTGTCAAATATGAGAAGAATATGACAAAAATCTGAGATTCTAAGCTAAAAATAAATTAAATAAGGCAAAGTTACATTGAAATAATACAACAGCACATATCACTTGATATAGTGATAAAGTATTATTGTTTCCATTTTCTTTTTTCTTTCCATGATCTTAGGTGAGGCCGGGCCTCATCTGACCGCACATCACTGCACATTTGTTATAAATGATAACACTTGGTTTGCAAAAAGACGGAAATGTGCAAACAACAGGAAATGTGTGACACATTCAAATTTCCCCACTGAGGACTAAGAAAGATTTCTTGCCTTATCTCATCTGATCTTAAACAAATATATTAAGCTTAAAGTATGCTTCATTTCACAAACGTGGTTACACACTTTTATTCCCTAAAATTAAAAAAAATCAAAGTCAAAATGTGGCTACCGGGCTCTCTGTCAGATGTCATGTTCAGGGCACATTTGAAGGTTCACTTTTCATCAACAGCTGCCTCACTTGTCAACGTAATGCGCTGTTAAAAGTCACCTGCATCAAAAGTCCGCCTATCATCGCTGGAGTTTCACAGGCTTTCTGATGTCAGAAATAGCTTTCACACACAATAAGCATGCTACAAATTGCTTCATGCATATCAAGTAGGTCAAGGTATGTTGCACCCTGAGTTTAATTTTTCCTTTTTGTCCTGTCATTTTACACATATCCCAATGAGCAGAGCTAAACCTTTGTAATTCAGGGAACATAATGCATTCTTGCTCTGCTACTGTTGTCTTTTTATTCTGTCAGCTATGTGTGTAGAAGTGGCTAATTGTCTTACTTGGCTTTTTAATCTTGACAGCCTAGGATCAGCCTGTTTGTTTACTGAACACCGCTTTCCTCAGTTTATTTCAGTTGCGTAGCTGCCATATTGTACTCATAATTGGCCTAATATATCTGAAATGCTAGTCGTGAAAGATAAGTGAATTGAATGGTGTTTTTTCCACTCCCTGCATTGTTAGCGGTCCAGAGAGGCGAGGATTAATAAAGCAATTAAAGCGGATTGTTTTTTAAGGTAGATTTAAGACCTGATTCTCATGAGAGTGGTGTCTATGCACATCGTGATTTGCATTCTATTTTATTTATTTATTTATTTATTAGTTTATTTGACAGGGACAGTGTACATTAATGAACATTACTGTAAATGTACCAGAATTAGCCACAAGGCTATTTTCCATCCGTTGTCCCTGGACAGATTTAAAATGTCAACCTAAAAGCAAACACAACACTTGTATACAAAACAACAATGATAAAAACAGTGTACATTTACCATATATACAATTAGTTAAAAGTTAGTGTTGACAGGACTGTTTTGTAATGAACCATGATTTGAGATGAGTTTTGAACAGATTGTATGAGGCCAGTTCTCTGATGTTTGATGGGACTGTGTTCCACTCCTGAGACGCCCTCACAGAGAAGGCACTCTGGCTGAAGGCGCTCTTCCGGAGTGGGATAACACAGTCCCCACGGGCGGCCCCCGTGGGGACTGTGTTATCCCACTAAAATATTAAGAGGAGTCAGTGCTAACGTTTCTATCCTTTGCTTGTATCATTCCTGCTTGAAAGGTTTAGAAAATGACAGCAGCTGTACATCTCCTAATGCTTCGTTACTAAGGCGCCATCCTCGGTTTATATTTGTATCTGCCATCTTGTCCTTGCAGGTTAGAATTTCTTGAAATGGCAGCAGCAGGAGTGCATCTTTTTTGTCGCCGCCCACTGTGTCCCTGTGTAAACGTGCCACATTTACTCTCTGAAAAGAGCGTGCCACATGAGCCCCAACTCGTGACAAAAGAGAATGTGTGTGCGTTCGCATCCGGAGCTATCCCCTTCAATTATGTTGTTATTCCTAAGTATGAAATATTAGCGACACATGCGGTTCACGCCCAGATCCTCTCACGTCCGTTAGGATGTGATTGCTGAAGATGAAATATTAGCTCACTTCACCTTGGAAATGATTTTAACTGTTGAACGAAACATCCATCACTGAGCAAGCATCATAGACAGGCGCTTGGCTAATCAGTGCCTGCATGACTAATTACTATCTCAGAAATGAGATGATAGGAAATGGCAGGAGCCAGGGCCCCTATCTGGTCATACAGCAAGCCATGCAATTAAATGGCTTGATTGACCCTTTGTTTTAATAATGTAGACTGAGACTGAGATGGCTGCTTAGACAATCCTGTTATCAAGGGGCTCTGAAATGGGAGGACATGCAGTGTTCAATTTCTAATGAATGAATCAAATGCAGGTGCAGAGACTAATTTTGCCTCTGTTAAGCCAGCTCCTCTGGTGAGCTGCTGTCCTTCCTGCCTGTGTTTTTTCATCCATTTAGTGGCCCTTCTAATTGCACTCACATCTCCCGGGGGCTTGTACTCAGTCTGTCCTCTTTCACCACATCTTCCACTCATGTTTTGTTTTGTGCTGCGATTCCCTCTCTGTGTCCAGGGCGCTGATGCCAAGCCAGTGGTGTCCTTCATTGCGGGGCTCACGGCTCCTCCCGGGCGCAGGATGGGCCACGCTGGCGCCATCATTGCTGGTGGAAAGGGCGGAGCCAAAGAAAAGATAGCAGCCCTGCAGTCGGCTGGAGTAGTGGTCAGCATGTCCCCTGCTCAGCTGGGCAGCACCATGTTCAAGGTGAGGGGATTTTCCTCCAAACAAGAATGAGCTCTTGGTCTTTAAAGTGATAGTCTGGAATTCTAAATTAATTAAACATTTTAAGAATTGTATTAAATTTACCTCCCAATCAAGTGATGCCAAGGGCTGTCAATCATCGGCGCTGATGCTCGCAGCTGCGCGCATGCTCAGTTGTTTGTTTTCACAAAGCCTCTGAATCAAGCCTCCATTAAGGGGCGTTCACACCGGACTTAACTTCGGCGTCAAAAGCGTCAGGTTTCCATTGAAAGTGAATGGTGAAGCGCGTCAGGTGAAGCCGAGAGCCCCGGCGTCACTTGACGCGCGTCAAAAGCTTCAAGAGTCGCGCGTACTACGCGCTCACTTGAAGCTTTTGACGCGCGAAACGCTTGCGTATCACAACAATCCCTTTGACGCCGAAGTTGAGCAAAGCTGAGCTTTTGAAGCTTTGACGCGGGCTTCAACCAATCAGGAGACGAGGAGCAGCAGCAGCAGCAGAGGGTCTGTCTCTGTCATGAAGAGAAGTCATGTATCTGCTGCTGTTTGTCATTATTGTTATTAGTAATATTATTTGTATGAGTAGTAAAATTCTGAGTAACAAAAATCATTGTACACATGCTGTGTAGTAAACGTAGTTTATTTAAAATAAGAACAGGCTGACGATGAGTCTGGCTCAGAGCAAGGCAGCTCCGGGCGAGCGAGGCGGGGAGAGGCAGGGAGAGGCGAGCTCCGGGGTTTGAGAACTCAGACTGGGCGAGTGACATGCGGAAGTACCGCTGAAAGCGAGACTCCTCCGTACGCAGCTCCTGGAGTAAATGACGGAACTCTGCAAACACTGCAGCCTCTCAAGTCTGTGGTGAACCCAGAACATGTTTTGTTGAAGCCCTACAACAACGTTATTTTGCTTTATATAACAAATAAAGGCTCACTGCTCATTGAAAAATCCACCGCTGTCCTGACTACAGGCAACAGAGAAGCTCCTCCCACCGGCGTCAGGCGCGTCACTCGCGTCAAAAGCTTCAAGCATTAAAATGACAAAACTATCCCGGCGTCAGTTGAAGCGCGTCAAAAGCTTTTTGAAGCTTTTGGTCTGAACGCGCCTTTAGGCTCTGGAACTACATCAGAACTGAACAAAGAATTCTGAACATCCGCGCTGAGTTACCCATTTATAAACTGAACCTATATCCATAATCAGATCCTCTGCAGATGTGTCCTAAAATGTTTAGATAATGATAATAGTTAGTATTTTTTGTGCATAAAACATTATTTTTGTCATGAAGGCGTTAACAAGTAATTCTGAAAACCTCCGTGCATGTGTATTAATAATGTATATGTATAATGTGTTCTCAGATTAACATTTAAAAGTGTTGATTGGTCTATGCCTACGTTCCGTAATCAATCAGAAAGGAAGGGGGAGGGAGCTTTTCAAATCATGTACCTCTCTCTCTTTTGTCTGACAATCCAGACAATCACTTTAAGTTATGTATACACAGAACTACAAGGCTGCCATAATTATGTTACCATATTTTTCTATATCTTTAACAGAACTACAGACAAAAACACAGGCCAAAATCCTTTTAGTGTTTATAAAAAACACAATTGTGATCAATTTAATTCTATCTCGAAGCTTTCATTCACAGCTTTCAATCATTTCTGTTTTAATATATTTAATATCTGGTCTACCTCACCAAAGGTTTTCTTTTGAGTATTTTTAAACTTTCAAACAGTCATGCATATCGAGCTATTTAATAAAAGTCCTGATTTCCTTTGATAATATGATCCGGCACTCCCTGTTCAGACACCTCTAGAACGTAACGTGATAATTTTGTCTTTCTCTCTTATGAAACAAAGATAAGCAAATGTCTATACATGAATTTAATTTACACAAACCTCAAAGCCGTGTATGTGCAAGAATACCTGAAGAAAGCTTTTCACTTTTTTTAAAGCGCCATATTTTATTTCATTCCTTCTGCAAACACAAATTACATAGCAATCATGCATTCATAGACTTTTTTTATTTGGCCTTTTGGAAATAATTTTTTTAATATTTCATTACTTTGGCGGATAGAATGATTGTTTACCGAAATCACTTAAACAGAGCAGATGGCTTAAACACGTACTTCTGGTTTCCTCCTACTGAACACCTAAGGCTTAAAGGCAATTTTATCGCACTCTCCCACCAATGTTTTCCATCACGGCGACATTTTGTAACAGCCCGAAATATAAATGCAAATACCCCGTTATTGTTTCCTATTCTTACCGCTCATTATTTTCCCAAATTTGCAAGTGAACACCGAATTACAATTGACTAACCGGGGTCGCAACTTTTTATTCAAATCTGGATGTGAATTGTGCGTGAAGAATAGATTTGCCTTTTATCCTCAGAAATCATATGCGGATAAACAAAACAAACTCAAAGGTCATGTTTTTTTTATTATACACTCAATGGAGCAAGCTAATGGCATCTGACAGTCGAGCCATCATTCCGGGACACAACGGCATGCCTTGTACTGCTGATTTTTGAGAAGCTGCTCATTCCATTACTAATCAAGTTCACTCTAAGGATAATTTGGGTGAAAGGAGCCCAGTCATAATTGAACTTTATATATACAGGCAAGAGCTGAAAGTTATTAATAAACACGCAGGCGGCAGTTGCAGCGGCAGTAGGGACGGCGCAACTTTTTTTTGGTTTCAATTTATCTCCAAGGAAACGCTGTTAACAAGATGTATAAAAAGTGAACGCGTGTATTGCCACCATTCGTCTTCTCATGCTCTCATTACCTCAACTGGCAACATACTCTGCGCAGATATGGATTTACACACGTTTCCTCACCCCCAAGTTTAATTCATAATCATTGTGGGTAACGATGAAAAACGCCACGCGCGGCTGCTCGTTCTCGCTCGTCGTTGTGTTCATACATTTCTGTTAATCTCATTGACCGTCGTAATGGCGGTAATAACGTGGGGGAGAGGGCTCAGGCTGGGGGGGACCTTCGACTGCCACCTAGGTCATCGCGGCCATGAGCGCGCCAATCCATACAGGCGTACAGTACAGTATAGACATCTTTAATCGCAATGAATTATGCAAGGGCCAATGGCAATCACTTTGTCGTTATTCTGTCCCCTCCTGAGTAGCCATTACATGTTTTTGTCCTTTCTATAATTATCAAATGTGTGTTATAACAAGATTATTTAAGTATATTGGCTTGTATCATGGGCTAGTGCTTGTGACTTGGTTGGCATCACTGATCGCCACCCCCCCAAACCAGAAATAGATTAAGGGGTAGACGATGGATGGATGGATGGCTTGTTTCATTAGTTTTTTATTTCATTTTTATGCTTCATGGCAAATCTGAAATGCTATTGGGGCTAATGCTAAGTGTGAATAAAGATGGATATATTAAAGCTGGAGTATCTGTTTTTATTTCATAAAGAAACTTTTAGTTTGTCTCAACAGAAATGGTATGTTATGGTGCTGTCTTTATCCTAGTATGTAAAAGATACTGACAGAGGCCTAAAAATGCATGCATGTGAAAACTGTGATACATGTTTTGAGAGCTAGCAACTAGTTACACTGTGATTTTATTGCACAGTTTATTTATTATGTACTCCAGCTTCAAGAGGCAAAGAAACCAGCTTTAAACACATATTTATTTAATCAGTAAAGTTTGAGAAGATTAAGAACCTCTTTTTCAATGGTGTCCTGGTCAAAAGTCCTGGCCAAATGTGGGAAAAGAGAGAAAAGCCTGTGATAACTTTGCAACTTTGTGTTAATGTTGTTTATTGTCAAAGAAACCTCTATCCTTATTTAATGTAAATTAGCATATTATTTAGAAGTCCAAGCTAATGAGGTCACTACAAATTTAAATCCATGTTTTCTCCATTTGTCAAGCTATTGCCTGTGGTTATTCAGGCTCCTGTCAGTTGGTTCAGATCCTCAGTTTAATTGGTGAAATCTAACCAGTGGCTCTGGGAAATTAGAAAAATGCTGTCTGCTCTGATTGCCTCTGGCATTCCAAGGCTCCTGGAAAGTAAAGACAAATTCTAGCACTGCTTTTTTGTAGATTCCAAAAATGTTCACTTTTGGTCTATGCCATTATTTCTCATGTAGCATTCGCTTTTATGTAATTTATGCAACTGTTTTTAGTTTAATTGTATGTTATTAATGACTACGGTGAGAGTACATAGTTTTAAAATAGTAGAAATACAGGTCTTGAATATGTAAATGCCTGCTGTGCGTTCCTCCGTTTCAGTTAACGGCCAAAGCACAAAAAACATCGGACAGCTGGTACAAAAAACATTTGTCCCAGCTGTCGGATGACCCACCGTGATTCCTGCCACTCTGGTTGAATAGTTGATGCTCGCCTCACATCGCCCCGTCTAGTCACTTCCCACCCAGCTGGATTTTCTCCTGTCCTTCGTCAGAGTGGCAACCTGTGCTTCATCTTGACGTGCCTTGACATGCATTTCTTTCACACAGTAAAAAGGCCTTTTTACTGCCCAAGACTGTCACTTTTACCTTTTTGTCCCCTATTTTTAACTCGCTCCCTCTCTTTTGATTGTGGGTAGTATAGTGAATAATAATACAAACAAAATATTATACGTTTCATGAAAGAACTGAAGGGCAAGGTGCTTAACAGAGACAATGTAACACACCATGGAAGACTCATTTGATATCCAACTGAAAAAAAGTTCATTTAGGTTTAGTCTTAAATGAGCTGTGTTAATATCTCTGTGAACAAACCTTGGACTGTAACTTGCCACCTCTGGCTAACCTTTCAATACTGCTAATCACCTTCTCTCCATATTAAACTGAGGTTAGAGCAGTTGATACAAACTGTTACTTCAGCCTCCTCTAGGTGGCAGTATTTCTCCAGGTATTTCTCAGTCTGTTGCTTCACTTTGTATGTGACGAATGACATGTTTTGCTATAAGTAAATTTGCAAGCGGGGGATTTACAAAAAATATTCAATCATCAGTATGTGGGGTATTTTTGAAGAATATTATGCAAAATGCTACATCCCCTTTTTAAATCGGTTAACATATACTTAAGGAACCAGTCCGCAATGAAGACAAATTTTGCATGGCAACCATCAATCATGGACGAGGCTGTTTTTGATGTGGAGTTGAAGTGGACAGCAGGACTAGACTTAGAAACACAACAGCCCTTTGAAGCCCGCCGCAATCCCAAACTCTGAATCACAAGCTAGCCGTGCGAATTGTGCATGAATAAATCATGTCTATTTCACTTGATTCCCTCCATATTTCCCAAATCTTTTGTCTCTGCAGGAGTTTGAGAAGAGGAAGCTGTTGAGCTAAACTGCGCATAACGGCAACTCCTGATCTGTAGCCCCTAACCCGAAAGAGAAGAAACCCAATTCTGGAGGTGGAATACTGTCTGTACAACTACCCAAATATATTCTAACGCACAATTGCAATGTTTGTATTGTAATTTCTGCCATCATCTTATACCTTGCACAGAAAGAATGAATAAAAGCTGTCTTAATGGTATGCCACATAACTCCCCTTGCAGTGTTTGCTAGTTTCTCTCTGCGGGTTGAATTAACGGAAGGTGCCACAGTTACCAAGGTGATCCTTTTTCTTTTGCTCTTTCTGTAAAATATATTCTTCCACTCGTTTCACTGGTTATCCACCTGAATAAGAAAATAAATATCTTTCCTCGTGATATGTTTGCAAATGTCCACATGCTGTTCTGGTTAAACCAGATGTGTTCTCATCATAGGAGCAGTCCTCACTGCTGATGCATAAGGGAGCATTGTCTTCATGTGTTGTTTGCAGTGAACAGATGTCAAATTAAAAGAAACATTTCTGCAAGTAGGTGTTGTCAAACTTTTGGAGCTTACGTGTGCTTATTTAATTTAATAGGAGAACAAACTAGCTAAAATCAAACGACTAATTAAATGCACCGTGCTGTTGGGATCGCCTGTATAATTGAAGTGGTACATCAGAACGGTCTTATGTTGAGATTCTACACACTGTATAATGCATACAGTACATTGCCTCAGATATTATACTGTTGCCAAATTTGTAGAGAACTACTGCATCAATTCAAATCTACTAATGTTAAAATTGCACATTGATTGAATATCACACAAATATCACTTGAAATCTGCTATTATTGTCAACAAAAATACTTGGTTTTGTTCCATGGAAAAAAGTTAATGTTTCCAAGGTGGAAATGAGTTGGAAGTTCAGTCATTTACAACACGGTACTAGCGACAAAAGAGTAATGGAGCATATAATGCACTAGACTGGACATCTCTGCTACCTCTTATCTGCCCTTCTGCAGTCAGCTAAGGCCCATTATTTTCTGCACACATTGTCAACAATTACTTTTTAATCTGTATTAGTGAATTAACATATTGACTGACAATGCAATAGAAAGCCTATTTGTTTAGAGGCTTAGAAGTTTGTTCCTGTATTGAAGTTGCAAAGCTGCCTGGCAATAAGCTTGTGCTACAACTTGCTCCTAAGATGTGACGGAGGCAGAAGTGGGTTGCTGCTGGTAATCTGCTGTTTGAAAAATGTTTTCAAAACTGTAGCATAATTGCCAACACAAATCGTTGGTACAGTAATGTATTACTTGATTAATTCACTTTTAATGCGAAAGGAAAATGTATTAAAGGACTGTATTCAATGTTCTTTAAAAATGTCCTTCAAGAGGAGACAGTTGAGGCGTACGTTCTGCTTTTCTCCTGGACGCCTCCCTGGGAAGTCTCTCTGTCCTATCGGGAGGAGGCTGGGGAAGACCTATCCTAATTAGACTCTCGCCTTAACCCAATGAAACATTGATCTCATTCGAACAACGTTTACATTGATCTGTACTTTTAATTATTTACATGGTGATATCAGAACATCAGAGCTGTTCTGATATCACCATTCTGATAACGCCTCAGGAGTTACGCGTAGAGGAACGTCTAGGTGTTTCTGCTTGGACTGCTGCGCCTGTGTCCAGGCTTCAGATAAAGTGAAACAGACAAAGGATGGGGTAATGAATGTCATGTAGAGGTATGTGGACAACATCCGAAACATGCCATGAAGAAATAATTGCTCTGATCTGGTGACAATATATTCTCTCTCATAAATCTAAGATAAAACAAGTGATTTTTTAATGTTTTTGTAAGGATGCATTAAGAGTGTCTCGGACACTTGGGTGAAGAAGGGGGCGGAGCTCTCAACCGATCACCACCTGCTTGTTGCTGTGGTCTCAAGGTCTCTGGTGCTGTTCCCGGTGGCAACCCCCGAACCCGGTGATGGACACCCATAGTAAGGGATGCCGTCAGGCTGAAGGAGTCCTATCGAGCCATGATGGTTTGTGGAACTCCTGAGGCAGCTGTCCAGTACCAGCGCTCCAGTACCGGCAGGCCAAGCGTGCTGCCCGAGCTGTTGTTGAGGCAAAAACCCGGGACAGGGAGGTGTTTGGAGAGTCCATGGAGTATGACTATCGGTCAGCCTCGAAGAGATTTTGGCAAACCATCCGGCGCCTCAGGAGGGGGAAGCCGTGCTTTGTCAACACCGTGTACGTTGTGGGTGGAGAGCTGCTGACCTTGACTGGGGATATTGTCGGGCGGTGGAAGGAATACTTCGAGTTTCTCCTCAATCCTCCGTTCCGGAGGATGAAACCGAGGATGAAACCGAGGATGTTGGGGCGGATACTGCAGTCACCACAGTGGTTGGAAGCAGTATCCCAAAGGATACTGAGAACATTGTGGGTCCGGGGTCCTCTGCTGACTGTATGACCGGAGCCAGAGCTGTGTCTGCGTTGCCGTCAGTAAGTCAGACCTGTTCCCAGTGCATGTTGGCCTACGCTAAGGCTGCCCTTATGGACAAAATTTCTAGGCGCAGCCAGGGGCCATAGAGGGTCCAGGTCGGAGACCACAGGATTTAGTCTCTATTTGCGGACGTTGTTGTCCTGTTGGCTCCAACGAACCCGAACCTGCAACATGCACTGGGACGGTTTGTAGCCGGGTGTGAAGAGGCTGGGATGGAGTCTTAATTTCAATACATCAAAGCACTAACACACAGGCAATCAGAAACATGTTCTCTCGGACCAGTGGCAGACAAGACACTGATTCAAGCCGCCCTGTGCAGAAGGAGCAGGGTTTTTTTTTTCCAGGGCTGGTGATGTTTAGCTGCAGACACAGATTGGTCAGACGTGGAGAGAGCAATGTCAGAACAGAGAGGACAGAGCCTGGGCAGGACAGCAGCACAACACAGAAAGGGTGTGAAACTGGTACAGTGCGGCCCAGTGCCAGCTGCCGTAACACTTCATAACTTATAATATATTATTAATGTAGCAGGGAGAATGCTACTTCAAGTATAAGAAACAGAATTTAAAATGACTACATATTTTTACCCCATATTTTTAAGTAAGCTGTAGTCTGCAGATATGCTCTCCTTGTGTGAGAGGCTGTTGAGGAGAGTAGCTCACCACCCACAGACTCGGCGAGGCCTCATTACAGCAGGGCAGAGCGCGGCCCAACTGCCCGTTTGAGAACTTCTACCAGTTCAGTCTGCAGTCTTAATGAACTCTGCTCTGTCCGTGAGGAGGCTACTGTCTACATGCTGTGTGTCTGGTAATGTATGCAACTTATTTTTTCACTTAAAAATTATGTATTTTAAATGTGTTTATATTTAATGCAACATAGGTACAACAATTCAATGTATTTTTGTATAGCCCAAAATCACAACAGCAGTCGTCTCTAAGGACTTAGCAAAGTGGTCAATTTGCAAACAATGAATCAGAGAATCAAACCATTCAAACACAAGAAACACAATAATAACAAACCCATTGGTCCAAAGGGAGCAGGATGACTTATGTCCATAAATATTGATAAATGTGATCAAATGTCCTGGATCATTACTATCCTTACATCCTGCTGCTGCAAAAAAAAAAAAAAAAAAAAACACATTGTGAGGAGCCGTTCCCATGGGCAAACAGAATGTAGATCCAGCCCATGAGTCCAGGCTGGGGGCGACCAGCTCCCTCCTGCTTGTTTCCATAAATCTGAAGAGGTCTGGAAATGTTGTTCTTTGATGTTCCACAGCATGACATAAAATACAGATGAAAAGGGATATTGTTTGAAGTTTCATTTATTTATATAATTCAACGTGTGTTTCAAATGAAATGCTTGGGAAGGATGATTTGGTGTGAAGAGACTGGTTAGAATGAGAAATGTAACTGTTGGAGAGAACAGGTGTGTCGGGGGCCCTGGCTGGTCGAGCAGATGAATGCGTAATGTACAGTGCCTTGCGAAAGTATTCAGCCCCCTTGAACCTTTCAACATTTCGCCACATTTCAGGCTTCAAACAAAGTTTTTTGTCAAGAATCAACAACAAGTGGGACACAATCGTGAAGTGGAACAAAATTAAACTTTTTTAACAAATAAAAAACTGAAAAGTGGGGCGTGCAATATTATTCAGCCCCCTTGCGCTAATACTTTGTAGCGCCACCTTTTGCTGCAATTACAGCTGCAAGTCGCTTGGGGTATGTCTCTATCAGTTTTGCACATCGAGAGACTGGAATTCTTGCCAATTCTTCCTTGCAAAACAGCTCGAGCTCAGTGAGGTTGGATGGAGAGCGTTTGTGAACAGCGGTCTTCAGCTCTTTCCACAGATTCTCGATTGGATTCAAGTCTGGACTTTGACTTGGCCATTCTAACACCTGGATACGTCTATTTGTGAACCATTCCATTGTAGATTTGGCTTCATGTTTTGGATCATTGTCCTGTTGGAAGATAAATCTCCGTCCCAGTCTCAGGTCTTTTGCAGACTCCAACAGGTTTTCTTCCAGAATGGTCCTGTATTTGGCTCCATCCTTCTTCCCATCAATTTTAGCCATCTTCCCTGTCCCTGCTGAAGAAAAGCAGGCCCAAACCATGATGCTGCCACCACCATGTTTGACAGTGGGGATGGTGTGTTCAGGGTGATGAGCTGTGTTGCTTTTACGCCAAACATATCGTTTTGCATTGTGGCCAAAAAGTTCGATTTTGGTTTCATCTGACCAGAGCACCTTCTTCCACATGTTTGGTGTGTCTCCCAGGTGGCTTGTGGCAAATTTTAAACAAGACTTTTTGTGGATATCTTTGAGAAATGGCTTTCTTCTTGCCACTCTTCCATAAAGGCCAGATTAGTGCAGTGCACGACTGATTGTTGTCCTATGGACAGACTCTCCCACCTCAGCTGTAGTTATCTGCAGTTCATCCAGAGTGATCATGGGCCTCTTGGCTGCATCTCTGATCAGTCTTCTCCTTGTTTGAGATGAAAGTTTGGAGGGATGGCCGGGTCTTGGTAGATTT